ATAAATAAATAAATAAAATCCTTTAAAATGACACTAGAAGAGGCACAAGCCTGATGGAGGACTTACATTTACTAACGTGGGTCAGACCCAACCACAGAAGAGCTGAAGCTGGGTGGTAAACACACACAGGTAGTTCTGATAACACCTGAGCTCCATGGCGTCTGAGACTGATGCATCAGTGCTACAGCGGGACTAAAGACATGATCAGAAACAGGTTACAGCTGGATGATCTAGGAAGGTGGAAGATCAGGACGTCTGAGCGGTGAACAGGTGAGCGGACCTTCGGGACGTCCCGATGAATAGTCTATGGCTGCACACGCGCACCTGACCCAGTCTTCCTGGTTCTTCACGGCCGTGATGCGCTTGGATGAAAACATCTGCCTCTTTCGCTCCTGATCAGCTGATGACAGCTTCAACACACCGCGCTGCTTAACGCACACATTTGTTTATCAGCAACAGAAACGACGTTTTGATAAGACGGTAATTAATTAGTTTGCTCGTGACTGAAAAATATGTTTAGTAACGCGGTTATTTTAAACGGCGTTGTTCCCATCACTGCTCTGTTGGGTCTACAGCATGCTGAGACAGTGAGAACACTGAGGGTCTCCGCCCACCCGGCCAATCATCATCGTGTTTGTAAGCGAGTTACCGACACCTCTCTCTCCCTGGCTGCAGCTGAAGTGTGGCGGTCAGAAAGCCTCACACTGTTGCTCAACATTCGACAAGCACATAGTAACGCACAGCGTTCCGTCCCCAGTAACGGTAACGGCGTTGCAACGGCGGGAAAAGTAATTATTAGATTATTCCGACCTAAAAAAGAACGCCGTTAGTAACGCCGTTACTCCCAACACTGTGCCTAGCAGACCGAGAGTCCGGAGCCGCTAAAAAATACAGTCTCACAACAGCATTGTGACATCATAATGTACCAACTAGCGTCATTGTGTACCTCTTAGCCAATAGCGATGGCAGATTTGAATTCAAATGCTGTCATGTTGTGGGTAATGAATTTCACCCAGGACATGAAGAATCACACGAGAGGAGAGGTAAGTAAAATATAAAAGTGTTTTATTTACAATGTGAACAGAAGAAATAACTAGAACTAAGGGCGCTGCTTCTATGAACAGGATGGTACCGGAATCTGCAAAGACAAAAACAGAAGGTGAGAGAGGCCAGAACCAGAGAACCAGGATGAAACGAGTCAGTAACTGCAAGTTCTTACAGTCCGAAGCCAGGACTAGAGCGGAGACGAACTGGGAAGGTTGGACCGGGTGAGATGGTTCTGAGCGTGGGCCGGCGGGCAGACGTGGAGAGAAGGAGACCAGAGGATCCTTGAGCGGCGAGACGGAAGAACAACTCCAGGCAAGGTAGGTGGTGCAGATACAGGATACTAGAGTAGGATACAAATTTCATTAATTCAGGATCACAGGACCAAGGACAGAGTCAGAGGCTAGATGCTACCCATGTGAGAGTATCAACCGGCACTGGAGTTCTTCTGGGGTTTAAATGGCAGTTGGCCCACAACGAATGGTGCATTACCATCACCAACTAGTGTGGTCTGGAATCACACACACACACACACACACACACACACACACACACACACACACACACACACACACATCCTTACTCATGAACACACACACACACACACACACACACACACACACCCTTATCTCCTTCAAAAACTGAAATAAAACCTGAAAACAGTCACTCTTTGAATTCTGTCTCAATAAATCAATAAGGTCGAGTTTCTTCTTCATCCGACTAAGAATTTGAATCGTTTTCCTCCTTTCTGCCTGATATTTCCTACATTGCAACACAACATGACCTATAGTTTCTTCTTCTCCACAATACCGGCACTGGAGTTGAGTCACGCCGCTCCTTAAATCCTTGCACCTCCAATTAGTGGAAACTCCAAACAGCTGTGCAGACTGCCGCGCCCACCTGCAAACATAATGCTGGCACACCTCACCCAGTAGATGGAGGCAGACCGTGACAAATGCAGTGCAGAGTTTTTACCTGACAACGGCACAACACTGACAGTTTTAGGCCGAAAATTTAAATTTGAACTAAAATGCGTTAAAGTGTCAAGTTACTGACTGCACGTGTCTGCAGCACGATTAAACATTTATATAGTTTATCAGGAAAAAAGTTGATTTAGTGGTGACTTGCTCTTTAACAAAACATGGTTCAGTCCCTTTGTCAGCTATTTTCTGTAACGTGACACATAAATATCTGATATCTCCCTTTATTATTGATGGTTTGAAAGGTCAAACATTGTTTATGCTGGTTAAATCCTTTCATTCTAAGACTGATTTGATTCATCAAGTCCTTGATTTATGTTTTTGGTCTGTTTAGACTTTTTTTGACTCAGACAGATGTTCCTTTCTGCTTGAAGGTACTGCTAGGCTATGTGTGAGCTCTGTAGAAAGCCCAACCCAGGTTTTGTTGCTCAGTAAGGTTTGAAATTGGGTTTGACTGGTCCAAAAATGTCCGTCAAACCAGTTTCAGGTTGTCTAAATGCCAGTAAACACCACAGTAAAGTGTTGGAATGTTTGTTTCCATAACTGAAAGCTGTAAATGTCCGTTAGTGAGGACTACTGTAGGGTGGCTCTCATTCTTGGAATTTTGTCACTTTTCTAGTTCAGACAGAGAGAAGATACGACTTTAAACATGAGATGTGGAACTCCGGACTGCTAAAAAAAAACAGTCTTGGTAATGAGAAAGTGTGGATTTCAGGGTTCAGATTTAATCTTTACAGAATACAGTTACAGTTATATTTCAGCATAGTAAACAGACAGTGCTGTCGTACTTAACTTGTCCTCTAGATGGCGACAACGAGTCAGGGCAGATAATGAAGCTGAGATTTAAAATATTTATGCATTTCAAGTGGAATTTGGCTTATTGTACTTGTTTGCTCAGATTGTGGCAAATGCATTTTATATTTTTGGTAAGTCATAAAAATTGTTTTAAAAGTAATAATAAGCATCCTCTAAAACATGAGGATGGAACATTGTTTTTAAATTTTAGACCATGATAGCTCATTTTCCGTATTTACGTGAAACACGTTTTCTTACTTTAACCCTTCAACTTCCACACAGAGTTGAAAGCTATGCATTTGTTGTCCATTTGGGCTAGTAAGGGTTAGAGAGCAAGTCACCCCCAAATAACCTTTTTTTTTTGCTGATCAATTCAATTAAATTCAAAAATACTTTATTAATCCCAGAGGATGATTGCTGTAGTAGCTCAGAATAATATTAATAATCAAGTCATCAAAGAGTTGTTGTTGGCAGGAAGGATCTCCAGTAGCGGTCAGTGTTGCAGCCAAACTGAAGAAGCCTCTGACTGAAGACACTCTTCCGTTGTCAGACAGTCTTGTGAAGAGAATGCTCAGGGTTGTCCATCATGTTCTTGATTCTCTGGAGAATACTTCTTTGCATTATCTCCTCCAGCGGTTCCGAAACTGCCGAAACTCTGGCTGAGTCCTTGAAAGGGCTTGGAGTTCCTCCATCTTGTTGGCCAGTGATCTCACATTGCCCATTATGATCGATGGAAGAGATGGTTTGAATTTCCTCTTTCTCTGTCTCCGTTTTGCTCCCGCTCTTGCGTTTTAGCTCATTTGGGATTTGTGGCTTGAGTTGAGGTATTATTTCAGCCTGTCCAATGTTAATCAGCTGTTCCCGATTGTAAACCAGCTTGTTGCCATGGTTACGCATCATAACAAATGCTCAAAAAGGGAAAAAAGCTTTAAAAAAAGCAGTAAAAATCCTCTAACCTTCACAGCACCAGAAACAGAAAAGTAAAATGTCCAAAAAAATACAGTTTTTCTTGAGAAACTAGAAGAAAAAATGCCCAAGAAAAGGCAAAACTTACATATAGTCAACAGAGCTACTCCAACATGCAGCCGCCCAGAGCAGCGCAGTTCTGGATATTGATAAACTAAATAAACGAGTGTCTATCAATCAATCAATCAAAGCTTTATTTATAAAAAACCTTCTGCAGCTCTGTCAGGAAGCCCTAGGCGTCTAATCGTGCTGCAGACACGTGTCATCAATAATTTGGCACTTCAGTGCATCTTAGTTAAAATTTAAATATGCTGCCTAAAACTGTCAGTGTTGTGCCGTTGTCAGGTAAAAACTCTGCACTGTATTTGAATTTAAATCCACCACCGCTATTGGCTAAGAGGTATGCTATGATGTAAACTGGTACATTATGATGTCACAATGCTGTCGTGAGCCTGTGTGTGTGTGTGTGTGTGTGTGTGTGTATTTGTTAGCAGCTCCGCCCTCTCGGTCTGCCAGGCAATAGCATTTGTTGCATTTTAGGGTTGATTTGCTCTTTAAAATAAGTAATCAGTGGCATATTTAGCCCCAAATGTTGCATGAAACTTTTTTATCGTGCTGCTGCCGTTTATTATTATTATTATTGTCATTATTATTATTATTATTATTATTATTATTATTATTATTATTGTTATTATTATTATTATGTCCCCTGACATTGATGTCTGGGTTACTTGGGCTTGTGTCCATAGGCTGGGTTCTGGTAGTGTAGACCCAATATTTACCTCACAAATGAGTTTTGTAATGATTCTCTTCTGTCAGTGAGTTGTGTTTTTGGCACTTTTATATTTGTGCTTGTAGACTTTTATGTAACATTTTTACATAAAAGTTTTGCCATCATGTTCTTTTATGATTTATGCTAAATTTGAATTTTCATAAAAGTACACAACGTAATATTTATTTATGAACATATGCATATAGTTCCCGTGTATTTGCTACAAACGCCCCCTCGGTGATCGGTTTGTGAATAAAAACATTCCTGGTTTGTTTTAAATGTAAATTTTATTATTAAATAACACCAAAACTACATCACCAGGCTGAAATTTGAGTTTTTCTGACAGATTGAGTGTTGTGTTCAGTTTGGCGTCTACTCGTTCCGTCGCACGCGCGCGTCGGCTCCCGCTCCCACGCATCCCAGCGAGGGCGCGCGCGGCGGAGGGGCGGGGCCACGCCGTGTCACCGCAGCCAGGAGGGATGTGAAACTTGTCCCGGATATTTACCTGACTATACCTGGTTCTTCCGACGCGCCCCGTGCCGAGCTGCTCTCCGAGAGCCATGACCCGCTCCTGAAGGGGAACCACCGAGGTAGTACCGCACCTTTAACACCTTTTACCTCCCAGGAACAGCGTGAAAGCTGCTGCCAGGCTGCTGTTGTTGCTGCCTCCGTCGCCTGTTGGTGGAAAGTTTGCCTCTGGTGGCGTGCTTGTCCGTTTTGGGTGTAGCTTCAGGAGAGTTGTCAACAGGTTCCTTGTTCGCGCTGCGGCTCAAAGTACAGCGAGGTCAAAGCCGAGTTTATTATCCAGAGTCGGAAACATAAATGTGGGCCCATCGCTGAACTCTTCCCTGTTTACGCTCTGATGAAGAACAGAGACTGGTCTAACGAGCTGATGTCAGAGTTTAATGTCGGGGTGTGATTTTGGTTTACAGATCCAGTTTCCCTCAAGATTGTAACACCGACCCGTAGATGCAATTGGCCGTTTGCTGCGTGAGAGGAGCTGTTGTGGAAATCCAACGGTTTAATTTATTCCCGCCGTGTCTCTGGGCTCAAACATTAACTCAGGATCTTGCGTGTCTTTTCAGAATCCGTGCAAGACAGACTGCAGCAAATCAACACATGCACGGACACACGCATGCAAGTGGGTGCAAAATGTGCATATTTCTATATTCTCCCCACTCCAAACTTTGGTTTTTAGGGCATTTTGCAGTCGCATGGGCGTCACACCCGTGGGGGATGTGGGGCAGATTCAACACTTTTCCAGCCGTTTTGCTCACCTCCTTGGGGGGGGGGGGGCTCTAATGGGAAACAGGCTTCAACACAAGCGGTTGTTTTCCGCTTGGTCCTAGAGCTCAACCAGTGTCAATTTAATATAGCGTAATATTGTTTTTGGATGGTAGGAAGTGCAGGGGTCAGAACTTGACTTTGGAAAAAGTGTGTGTGTGTGTATGTGGCGAGGTGGATAAACGAGGGCCCGGGCGGGATTCGATCCCCAGACTCCCGGGTGACAGTCATACGCTCTAACCAGTCAGCCAAAGGGACATCCCCTTGGCCAAGTAGCCAGGGCGCATGATCAATCGGGACATCGTGACATGTGTGTGTGGGGGGGACATGTCCCCCCCCCCCCCCCCCCCCCCAATTACGTCCATGCTCACCTCCACACCAGTCTGGTTTCTCGCACTCACTCTGTTTGCCTCATCTCCTCTTTCCCCTCCCTCTTCTGTTTCTCCTTAAACCCGACGTCGGCAGGAGAGGGAGGGAGGGAAGAGCTCGACTGAATTCATAGTTTTACGTCTTGACATTAGCTGTACAAAGTCTCAGTTTGATGAAGTGAAGAACAACAATTTTCTGAGGTTTATAACAGGCGCGGCGCCAGGTTTTCATTTTGGGTGGGTCACGGTAATTCTGGACGGACCTTAATAAGCAGTGACGTATAAGTGAAGCAGGCAGGTCGCGCTAGAAGATTTCGTTTAAAAAGACGTCATAAATGTTTTCCCCGTCATTTTTGTTTCTAAAATATGAAGGAAAAACTCCCAATTTAATTTTCATTCATGTTTAGTCTACACCCGTGCGTTCTGGCTGCTCTCCACTGGTTGCTTGTTGGTTTACATTTCGTTTTAAACTTCTTTTAATGGTGTTTAAGGCGCTGAGCGGTGTGGCTCCAGCCTATTTGGCGGAGTTGCTGCAGCCATATGTTCCGGCCCGGTGTCGGTACAGGATCTGCTCGGGGTCCTTCGACTGCCGATGACGTCAAAGTAGTAGGTAGGGCTGTAGCGACGCCTCGATGACGTCGACAGCTCGATTCTAAAAATTTGTCGACGTCAGATCCGGTAGTCGACGCACCGCGCCCACTTGTTGCATCCGCAGGAGTTTGTAAATAGAGGAGGAATCTGCCTGTTTTTCCTCTAGTTCGCCCTCTTCTCCGCCTTCACTAACATCTCCGCCAAATACCGAAGACCCGGAACAATGTCCGTCTGCTACTAGATTCCTTTCCTTTTTTGCCCGCCTTCATCTCCCGGCAACGGACAACAACTTCCGGGGTCAGATGCGCTGCTCCGTCTCTATTGCAGATGTAGAACATCACCGGGAGCGTTTCTCCCTTCATAAAGGAGCTTCTTTCAGACATGAGGAGAGCTGTTTTGGTGGTAGCAGTCTCTCCTCCGTGCTGGTCTGTTTGCTGCTGGGTGTTTTTAGTTTATTTAAACTTGGTAACTTGAACTTAACATTGGTAAAGCTACTGTTAGCATTTTCGCTAACAGCTTCTTGCGTTGGGATAAGCTGTTACGTTTTGGTTTAGAGTTCATCTTTTTTGTGGTGCAGATCTCCCTTTTATTACATTTAGAGTGTTGTGGGTTTTCGGTTTAGTTTAAAATATCACCTTGAGTTTGGTTTAACCACCCAGTTTAGAGTTTGGACCTTTGGAGATCCTTATTTTGGTCCAGAACCCAGTAATCTTTGCCCAGTGGGACATCCCTACTTATTTGTGCTTTGTTTTAATTCCCCACAGGCAGAATTAGTTTTATTTTTCCCAACCTGTGGATGGAAAGGTTTATGTTTTTTTATAGTTGTAAATAAACCTGATCATCATTTTAACTTTTAAATCCCGTTATTGTCCCTTCCTTTTTGCACACGAGCCAAACTCACCAGGAAGGGTTGTAACACCACTCGCCTCACGCACATAAGTGACCAAAACAAAGCAGCATGGAGACACTCCGTCTCCAACCACCTCTCAGGCAGCAGCCTGCTCTCCCAAGTTCTACACGTCACCAGAACATAACCAACCAACACAATAAAAGCAGTGTTATACAAAATGGAAGGCCTGTAGCGTTTATTCTCTTACAGTAACCATTTATCAATTTTTTTGAGTAATTTATTAGAGATTTTTTTGGTTTTTATTAACTGTGCAATAGAAAAATAATCATTAGATTAATTGTCTAAATAGTCATTAGAATAGTCGACTATTCGATAAAATAATCGTCAGAATAATCGTTTACCCCCAGCCCTAGTAGTTGGTTGGCTGAACATGAAGCTTACGGAAGTGACGTTATCACATTATGATTTTGATTGGTCAGAACAAACTTGCGGTCGTAGTCATAGCGGTTGTAGTCCTGTAGTCCAAAAATCAACACTTTTTGGAGAAAATATGTTTGAATTTCTAAAGGAAATGTAAAATATAAGCAAATGATGAACGGTGACCCTCAAAAACTCTTGATGTTGATGAAATGGGGCAAAATAAAATATAAGAACTTTATTGAAAGACACCAAGCAACATTTAGAGTCAAAGAATGTATTTAGATAAAAACTAAGGAAATATACAGACGAGCTCCACATTAATACAAACAGATGTGGTTTCACATATAAGAACTGTTATTGTTTGTCAGTCCGATGTTGGTTTTATGCAGTTTCACATTCTTTACTAAACAAAGATAATATGGTGTTTTATTAACAAATTACAATTATAAAGAAAACATTTAGGTGTTAACAAACAAGAATTTATTAACAAAACTGCTGATGTCTTTCCAAAACGTGTGTGAAAGCCGAGTAGATGTGCAGTAATGTGACGTCATCGGCAGTCGAAGGACCCCGAGCCGATCCAGCACCGGTCACTCCGCTCTGAGAACCGGCTGCTGCGTGTGGCTCCTAAGGTCAGGTTGAAGGTGAGAGGGGACAGGGCGTTCTCTGTTGCGGGTCCGAAACGGTGGAACGCCCTGCCCCTAACCATTAGGGACTCTCCATCAGTAGCAGTTTTTAAAATGAGGCTGAAAACCTACTTTTATGATCTGGCTTTTAATTCTGTGGGTTAGCAATTGTTAATGTTTCATATTTTGTAATTCTCATTTGTGGTTTTAATTATGTTTGTGGCGCGATATGTTTTATTGTTTTATTCTTTTGTTGTGCAGCACCTTGGTGACATGCTCATGCCTGTAAGGTGCTTTATAAATAAAGGCTGAGTTAAGTGGACCGGCACCATGCATTACCTGCACTTCTGATATGTAGCATAAGGGTACGTGCACACCCGAAGTTTTTACGGTTATTCATGAGGCAAAATCTCCAACATAAAAAAAAAAGACCATCTTCCAGTAAAAGCAAAGCATCCAGCCCACCTCTCCAAATGCGTAAAATGTGCATCACAGCTGCTAGGCGCGCCGCGCGCACCATCAGCTACGTCAGCCCAGGCAAGAGCAGAGAAATTAGAGAATAGAGGATAATTGTGTCTGGATGTGGATGGAGATTACATTTTACAGCAGCCTGATCATCATTTCAACACGTAAACCATCACCTTCTAGTCCACGCTAAGCATTATTTTAATTGGTGTGTGTGTGTGTGTGTGTGTGTGTGTGTGTGTGTGTGTGTGTGTGTGTGTGTGTGTGTGTGTGTGTGTGTGTGTGTGTTTTCCACATCAAACACTGGTCTAACCAACCAGACCAGCGTACATGTAGACTAGGAACATTTCACCTACCGTGGCTTCTGCTCCACATGAACTTTGTGCATGATTAAAGATTAAGATTAAAGTCCCATCAGTTGTCACACACACACTGGGGGAGCGGTGAGCTGCAGACGTAGCCGCGCTCGGGAACTATTTGGTGGTTTAACCCCCCAGTCCAACCCCTTAATGCTGAGTGTCAAGCAGGGAGGCATTGGGTCCCATTTTTACAAAGTCTTTGGTACGACCCGACCAGGAATCGAACCCTTGATCTCCCGATCTCAGGGCGGACACTACCACTAGACCACTGAGAACGGTGCTCAAATAGATCAAATGTCTCTACAGGAGCTTTCTGAGCTGAAGAGGCTATTCTGCCTCAGACTGGATGCGTCATGCGTCTCCATATTAGAGACGGGAACAAGCGCTGTTCAGCCAAAGTTTCATAATCAGAGAACATTTTTCCAAGTGACACGTCCCTCAGAGAGACCGGCTTTCCAGACCGCTTCAGTGGGAGGAAATCTTACCGCATCGCTGTGGTTCTGCCCTGCGAACCCCTCTACAGATCTTCAGCTCACTGTCCACCGTGTGCGCTGCTGCGATCCGCACTGATCACAGTGTCCATAAAGCTCTGATGTTCTGATGGGAATCATTTCTTGATTGATTTAGTTACCTCCGCGATGTACGTAACGATTAAAATGTCAGCTCATCCATGCGCATCAGTGTGCGTCGCGGTAATTCTTTCAAAACAACCAACATCCTTGAGTTTATCCATCAAAATAAACAGTCAAATGGAAATATCTGTAAGCTGCCGTTTAACTGTTTTGCCTTCTTGTGAAGATTGTTGCAAAGAGAAACAACTAAACCTGATTAACCCCAGAGCCACGCACACTGCGCTGTACTTCTGACTGTAAATGAGGGGGAACGATTTAATCGGATCCTTTTCTTTTCAACATGGTTTAATGTAAAGTTTCATTCAGAACAAAGTTTAGTTACACCAATCTAACGAGACAGAGCCTGGATTTGTATTCTGAGCAGTTTAAACATGTTTAAAACGGAGACATGCGTGACGCGTCTAAAATTTGTACCTGTGGAACCGCTATTATGGAAATCAAACTAACAAGATGAATAACATGAAATTATTTTAGGCACAGACAACATCCCCCACACTTTAGAAAATCTTGCAACGCGCCTGGATGTACGTGTCTGGCCTCCAGCGGCTGCTCTGAGATCAGCCTGTGCAGCAGATGGGGCGTGTTCAACTCTGAAAATGTTTAACATTCTTATCATTCAGCTGCCTTCGAGAGGCGGAGAGATGCCGGAGAGCAGCAGAGAGAGGGAAGGGACATGTTCAGACCCAGGCCTTATAATACCAGATCTCTCTCTCTCTCTCTCTCACACACACACACACACACACACACACACACACACACACACACACACACACACACACACACACAGACACAGACACAGACACAGACACACACACACACACACACACACACACACACACACACACACACACACACGAGTCACTCCTTCACATTCACGACGCATTACTCACTTCAGGCCCATATTTCATCCAGCATGTATTGCTCACGACACGGTGTCATGCTGAGGGTTGTGCTTTTATTGGAGGAGAACATCCTGGAAGCATCTAACACTGATGTGTGTGTGTGTGCGTGCGTGCGTGTTTATGTGTGTGTGTGTCCAGATCCTTTCTCAGTGGCAAGCTGAGGACAGGGTGTTTGTCTTGAGAAGGAGGCAGTTACCGTGGTAACCGACATGCCAAAACCGGACCTCCTCTGCCTCGTTCAGCTGTTGGACGGCACAATCAAGACCTTCACAGTGAGCGTATGTAACACACACACACACACACACACACACACACACACACACACACACACACACACACACACACACACACACACACACACGAGGAGATCATATGTTGCTCCTCTGTGCTCTGCTAATGTTTACGGTGTCATCTGTGATGTCCCTTTTCCCATTGATCCATGTTTCTTACTCAACAGTAGAACCATGTCTGAAGGACACACTCTCCTCCTTGGGCTTACAGACGCTTCTCACACTTGGCAGCCTTTTAAAACCATCAGCACACGCACGATGCCCCTCAGCAGCAGTTAAATTGTAAAAACTACTATTCTCTTATGAAAACCGTTTGATGCTGAGGATGTTTTGTAACCACAAACTGGAGACACGGTGATGTTTTCTGTTACTTAAAAAGCAGTTGCTGCAGTTTACGTGGATGTCAGACGAGCTGCAAGTTACGTCTCAGAGGGATAAATAATTATATGATGAAAGTAAAGCAGCGTGTTTCAGCCTGTAAATGTTCAGATTATTTAGAATAATTAATTCCCTCTGTCAGGTCAAGTCCTTAAAGAACAAGTCACCCCCTACCAGATTATTACTCCACTCCCACTTCCTGTTTGCAAAATGCAACAAATGCTGTCGCCTAGCAGATCGAGAGGGCGGAGCCGCTAACAAATACACACACAGGCTCACAACAACAATGTGACATCATATGGTACCAGCTAACGTTCTAGGGTACCTCTTAGCCAATAGCGATGGCAGATTTAAATTCAAATGCAGTGCAGAGTTTTTACCCGACAACGGCACAACACTGACAGTTTTAGGCAGAAAATTAAAAGTTTAACTAAAATGCACTAAAGTGCAAAACTATTGACAACACGTGTCTGCAGCACGATTAGACACGCATTTATATAGTTTATCAGAAAAAATAAGTAGATTTGGGGTGACTTGCTCTTTAAGTTTGGTTCAGTTCCACTCGGTTTAGTTACATAACAAAAAGCTGAATTCGTAGAGTTGTAGAGGTGAAACAGGAAAAGTTAGAATACGCTGCAGAGGTTCACTCACTTCAGTGACGTTGGGCCAGCCGCTCAAAAGGTGAACCTGATCTATGAGGGACTCATTCCAGGCATGCCCAGGTGTTGCAGCCTGTATCTGTTATAGTTGTGATTAGGGCTGCAACAAACGATTATTTGGATAATCGATTAATCGGATGGGGTCTCGACACGATTAATCGATTAATCGGATTACATAGGGACATTTTTAAAAACTGCTAGGGAAACGTTATTTTTCTCCTTCCCTCACTTTATTTAACACAACATTATTAGAAAACAGTTCAATAGCAGAAAAACAACATGCCATCACCTAAATTGTCTTATAAGGTGTATAGACAGAGACCCTAAGCTACACCTATCTGTGACCTAAAATGCTTGGTCCAAGTTAAACAGCTTAAAGAGCAAGTCAACCCCTACCAGAGTCCAACTCCACTCCCGCTTCATGTTTGAAAAATGCAACACATGCTGTTGCCTGGCAGACCGAGAGGGCGGAGCCGCTAACAAATACACACACACTCAGGGTCACGACAGCATTGTGACATCATAATGTACCAGTTTACATCATAGCATACTTCTTAGCCAATAGCGGTGGCAGATTTAAATTAAAATACAGTGCAGAGTTTTTACCTGACAACGGCACAACACTGCCAGTTTTAGGCAGAATATTTAAATTTTAACTAAGATGCACTGAAGTGCCAAATTATTGACGACACGTGTCTGCAGCATGATTAGACACTCGTTTATTTAGTCTATCAGCAAAAAAAAAGTATTTGGGGGTGACTTGCTCTTTAAGGGCAATTCTCATCTGTTTTGTTTGATCTCATCTGTAGATATTTATTATAATTGGGGATGTCAAACAACTAATTTTTAAATGTAATTAAACATAGGCTGTGAATTAATCAAAATTAATCACTATTTCCAAAAATGACTGAAAAATACCAAATAAAACAAAAGTAAATGAATGCCATCCTCCTTGCGATGATGCCCTGGGCAACTGCCATAAAGTCACATCAAGAAATGCTGCTGATCATTCCAATGATCCCAAATAGACTCACATTAGGCCACATGAAAGCAACTGAACCCAAAAATATATTAACCAGTATATAACTGCACTCTCACACAACACGCCTGCAGCAACAGTTAGGACTCCTCCCTCCCTTTTAAAAGCGTTTTCGCTTCTGAGGACATTGTGGTTGTAAAGCCACAAGTTAGTAGTCTGGCCCCGGTGTGATCAACCAGTTTCTGCGGGAATGTGACGGCGGAACCGGTTCGCAGCGGCGCGAGTCGTCGCACCCCCCCCCGCATATCTAATAGCGTCGCGCTTACAATTTTAAAGACTTTTTTTTACGAGCTTAGGGCATGTCTAGCCTGTGTAATAATCCGGAGCTTGGGTGAATCACTTTTGAAAAGTTTTTAACTTACCCGGACACCGAGCTCTCTCCTTCCTCGCTGATGATTCTGACATGCTTGCGTTTAAGACGCTGCATCATCACCGTAGTATCCCCATGCCATGCTAAGTCTGACCTACAAACGTTGCATGTCTTCGCCTGATTTAACTGAAAATGTTCCCAAACTTTAGAAGTTTTTACTTTTTGGGGGTCTCGCTGCTTCTGCCATGTTCCTCTTACAAACACCTGCTGACTCTCCACCGGTCTGCGCGCAACGGCGGGCGGGCGGGAGGGGGCTTTTGGAAGAGTTGCGCAACACAACGAATCGATGACGCAATTCGTTGCCAACGCTTTTAGTAATCGATTTTCATCGAATTTATCGATTCGTTGTTGCAGCCCTAGTTGTGATGATTCACCGCTGATGAAAACCATTCAACATCTCAGACAACTAGAATATCATGAAAAGGTTAAATATTCTAAAAGTGTGGCACTCTGATCAGCTGATGAGTCCAGAACACCTGCAGCAGGTTCCCGAGTCTTTAGACGGTCTCTCGGTCTGAGCTGGATTACTGACACCTTTGCACCAGATTCTCGTTTTTACCATGTTACCTGTGCACATTCATCTAATTAAAAGAATACGAAGAGTTAAAATAAATAGCTTAAATTTTTCCTTTTTGATTCACTAAGCAGCGTAAAAGTAGTAAAACTTCAGCAGAACCAGACTCAGAATGGAGAAAACACAAAGGAGCAGTGATGTTGTATTCACACATACTGCGTTTCAGCCCAGGCTGTAAGAATCATAACTAAAGGGATGAGACAGGTTGGCTAATGCTAAGTACGTCCTAACTATAAACTTGATTACAGTGTTTAGACCAGGGGTGCCCAATCCTGGTCCTGGGGGGCCGGTATCCAGCAGGTTTTGTGGTTTCTCTGCTCCAACACACTTGATTAACTGGTTGATTCACCTGTGCAGCAGCTCATCAGGCTCTGCAGAAGCCTGTTAATCACCTGCTGATTGAAATCAGGTGTGATGAAGCAGAATTAAAACTGAAACGTGCGGGAGACCGGCCCTCCAGGACCAGGATGATTGGGCACCCCTGGTTTAGACTTTTAAATTTCACTGCAATCACAAATAAGTCTGAATTCTGGGAGTGAACGGCTCTTTGCTATTTCAAATTCAAATTTCCCTGGACTGGCCTAAAAGGACCGATTTCTGGACCGTTTCTGGGACCCACCGATTACCCGAACTGGAGTATGCGCTCGTAAGTGTCCCAGTAGAGTCATTGGGTGGAACATGTGGGTAAATCATGCTGAAATGCATGAAATAACGGCGGACGTAAACAAACACCCGGCATTTATAAAAAAGGTAGAGTGAAATGGAAGGAAAAGAGCTTTAGGCCTAGTCCACACGTAGCCGGGGTTTTTAAAAACGAATATCCGCCCCTCCAAAAACTTGCATCCACACCACCGCGTTTTAAAAACAAACTCTGTCCACATGTACCCGGATAAATACGTTGTTAAGGACATGCCAGACCTGTAGGCGGCAGTACTTCCCCCGTTCTTAACCTCGTCCTTCGTCTGTGGTCTTCCGCAAGGAGCAGTAATTCCGCTTGCAACAACAAACAAGCAAAAAGCGCTTGGACAATTGATAAAGCGAGCGCAGCTCTGAGGGCATCCATGCTGTCGGCTAGTGTAAACACAGGTCGCACACGTGATGTCAGCATTTTTTTTGTCGCGGAAAGTGACGTTGCGGACCTTAAAACTCCGGTTTTGTCCGTCCACACGCAGACACCCAAAACGGAGAAAACGCAGATCTTCACTTTGGCCGGAGTTTTTAAAAAGATCCGTTTTCATGTGGATGACAGGCCAAAACGTAGAAAAATATCTACGTTTTGGCAGATCCCCGGCTACGTGTGGACAGGGCCTTAATATCACCATTTATAAACTCCCAACATTGGGAAATGCAGCAGAATTCCTCCCATGAGCTGTTTTGTGGTCTCCTGCGGAGCGTCGTGAAAACCCTGTTATCTCCCTCAGAGCTCCTGGACCGCTGAGTGGATCAAATTGTGGTGTGATGACAAAATAAAACTTTTGGAATGTCATTAAAGCTGTTGCAGCGAATCTACAGAACAAGCTAGGTTTTCCACTGAACACTCCCCCTCCCCTCGGGTATCTTCCTGCCAGAACCGCTAACCCACGATGCCGGATGAAATCAGGTGGTACTAAACGCCTGTCACCATTTTCTAGGTCCAAATGTCTTTAGTTGTCCGAGACTTCGGTTGTTTGTTCAATCCGATGGTTGCTTTCGGTCCGAACGTTTATTGTCGGAGGTTTCAGATGAATGCGACAGAACAACTTTATTTACATTTGTAGTTTTTTTTTTGTCTCCTCAGTATATTTATAGCGATGCTACGTTAGAACTTTGTTAAGAGGCATGAAAAAATAGTTTAAGCTAATCTTTTGGTGCCGATCAGTGACGTCGCTCGCCGCTGAAACAGTCACGATATGTTGACGTCATGAAAGGGAGGATTTTGTATGGAGAAAGAGCGACTGAGTCAGCGCGTTTTCCCCCGGCACCTTCCCTCTTCCCAGAAATTTCCCTGAACTTCTGCAGTGGGAATGCAGCCATTATCCATGAAGGGTCTTCTGAATCGCTTGGTCTCACCTTTCACCGAGGACCAGTTGGTCATGGAAATCCCTTCCGGGGGAAAGGACCCTACAGCCCCTGTGAAGTAGACTTGGGCCGTGTAGTGGATGACGTTCAGCTACCACGGAAGCAGGGGTGGACTGGCCTATCTGGCATTCTGGCACTGTCCCGGTGGGCCGCTCGCCCAGCTTGGGCCGACACCGCTCCACAGTGGGTGATCTGCAGAGCATTAGCTACATGGTAACCTGAAGCTAACAGAGATTTTCCAGGCGTTTTTAGCAACAAAAACGCAGTAGAGCGATGACGTAGGAGTTGTTTTACCGCGTTAGCATGTAGCTAATGTCCCGCTGATCTCCGCCCGTGGAGAATGAGCTCATCTGGAAGGCCAGGACTCCCGGTCGCAGCGGTCTGGCCCTGCTTGTAATTTAACAGTCCCGGTCCATATTAGGTCTCACATTCGGCCTAGAGACGAGTCCGCGGGCGGCAACACCCCCCCCACCCCCACCGCTCTCCCAATGGGGAGGGCCGACGATTCGTAAAAATGCCCGGGCCGAGTTTTGGTCCCAGTCCACCCCTGCATGGAAGACTGCAGCTCACTAAAGTTGAATGAGTCATCAGCGTTTTTGTGTTTGCTAATGCTGATTTGCTGCGGCGGCCATCTTTAATCACCTGACTCCAAAAGTTAATTACTTCCTCAGAGTTTCGTGACGTTTTTTGTCCAGGGATTCGTGGGATATCTAGCGAACAGCCATCCTTTACCATTTGGTGGTGGTCGGGCGTTAGAGGCTTCATAAGGAATATAATAAATGCTGCAACTGTGGAAAAATGATTTCATCTTCTGCCTCCAATCAGAAGTCCTGCAGCAGTCTCTGTTTTTAAAGGTCTGCTGGAGGCTTTTTAGGGAAGTTCTGCAGGAGTCTGACTGTAATAAACTAAATCAAGCTTGAACTCATAAAAATAGTGTGTTTATGTGCACAAAGGCAGCCGCGGAAGTTTGGCTGTCTGTCACGCTGTTTGTTGTTCATCTTTCAGAAGCAGGATGAAGGCATGGTTCTGTTGGACCTGGTATTTGACCACCTGTGCCTGCAGGAGAGGCAGCTCTTTAGTCTGCAGATCAGAGAATCCGGCACAGCCATCCCCTCCAGCTCGGCCAACACGTACTCTCCTGTGAGCTCACTGTTCATCTGCTGCACATTTGGGGCTCGGATTGTAAATTCTGTCGCCGGCTGACTGCAGCTTGGTTGTTTACCGCGGGGCCTGCTCCCATAAACGTTGTATGTATTAAGAACCGGATAGCCATTATGCTTAATGAATGTCTTTTATTTAGAGATGGTTGGAGCCTGAGAAGCCCTTGAAGAAGCAGATAAAAGGTAAAAGTGTGTCTGAATGCATGGATAAAAGGGAAGCGTTGCTGTAGACATGGACTATTTTCCTGTGCAGGTCTCGTGTCCCCCTTCTATCTGAACTTCAGAGTTCGATTCTTCATATCTGATCCCAACTCTCTGCAGCACGAGCAGACAAGGTTGGTGCACAAATTTCTGTTTTACGCAGCAGTGATTCAGTACCGACGCACAACTTCCTGATGGTCGTTAAATGTTGTTTTAGCTGCTCCATATTAGTGATGTTAGACTTTACAGTGCCTTACATTCGTGCAGCTGTTCCAAATGCTCCAAAACAACAGAACTCCAGTGTTTAGCTGCTTCATTAGAAAAACATGAAAAGGCAACCAGTAAAATTAGATTTCCATGAAGGTTTTATTATTAAAATGGCTCATTTTAATTTCTAAAGCAATGTTTGTGCATCCTGGTTGGACATCTGTGCGTAATCGCTTCGTTGGGCAAACATGACAGCTTGTGCCTTTTAACAGCTGCCTGGAGGTGTTTTAGTGCTTATTGGGGAGATCTTTGTAAATTATTTGAGGGAAATTTTTGTTTGGTCAAATTATGGAGAGGAGGAGCCAGTTGAGGTGGCTCGGGCATCTGGTCAGGAGGCCTCCTGAACGCCTCCTTGTTGAGGTTTTCCAGGCACGTCCAACCGGGAGGAGATCCAAGGGAAGACCCAGGACACGTTGGAGGGACTATGTCCCTCTGCTGACCAGGGAACACCTTAGGATTTCCCCGGAGGAGCTGGCCCGAGTGGCTGGGGAGAGGAAAGTCTGGGCCTCTCTGCTTAGGCTGCTGCCCCCGCGACCCGACCCCGGATAATGGATGGGTTTTGTCCCGGCTTAAGCTTGGTTTATGCTTGACACGTTTACGTTCCGCTTGGTGATGCGGCTCGCGGATGGAACGCGCTTCACAACTCGCAGCGTTTATGGTTCATGCGGCTCGTCTCTGCCGTGAGCCAATATTCTCCCAAACTGTAGGGGGCAGCATGGAGCTCTACGGCATGCATCCAACACTACACCATAGTAGAAGTGAAAATTACTGTTGTTTATAACAGCTGTTAATGAAAGTAGAGAGCCAACTCGGCTCTTTTAGGATTGGTGGAATGTTCTCATTTCCACCAGGATCACCGCTTTTCCGTTTGCTCCCCTTCCTTGCCTTCACATATCGGTCCCTCATGTTTTTCCAGCATTTTTAACAGCGTCCTCGTCTTTTCCGACAGTGCGAGCTATTTCTCTCCAAGAATTATTGACAACATGTTGATCACGGTGATCTCTGAGAGCTGACTCATACAAATGTCTGTATTTACGAACCTCTGCCATACTAGTTCTTGCCAGCCCGCCAAGTTTTTCCGCGTTCGACCGTCCGCGCGGTTAGAAAATTTCCTAGGGGCCTGGTGTGGAAAGTTTGGGCCGTGCGGAGGCGAGGTGGAGGGGCGTGGTTGTTAAAATGACACAATTTTGCCGTGCGAGCCTCGCGGACGCGTCAGGCATAAACCAAGCTTTAGGGCTGCAGCTTGTCAGCCCCTCCCGAAGTCCTCGCTCTGTCTGACTCATGGATTTGAGACAGGTTTGAGACTGGTTCCAGACTCTGCAGCAGCTCTGTGACTGTTTGGAGAGAATTAGTTTGACAAATTTTGTCTCAACTTGTTAAAAACGCACAGCTTTCCAATTCAACAGTCCGTTTTTGAAGTATTATTTGTTTTGCAGCTTAGTGTTTCCGTGTGGGCTTTAGTGTTCGTAATGTTCTGATCTTTGGCTGCTTAGAGAAGCTCATGACTCCTAATTGTCAGCATGAGGTTTGAGAGGTAGAGCATTTGGAAAAGTACCGTTTAGCAGCATCCCGTCTTCCATAACAATCCCTGAATTAAAGGGATTGACAAGGAAAAATGATTTGTGTGTAAAATCTTGTTTATGACATAAAGCAAAGTAAAGATACAAAAACAGGAAGTGTGTTGACGTTACTGCGTGTTTACCATATTAATGTATTTAAAATGCTAATATTTGCTAACTGTTGTCACGTTAGCTGCACAGAACAGTTGAAACTGTTTGTTAGGGACAGCCGTAGATCAGGAGGTAGAGCGGGTTGTCCGGTAATCACAAGGTTGCGGGTTTGATCCCGGCCCTGACCAGAGACACTTAACCCTTAAGCCTGCCGGTGGTGGCCGAAGGGACCGGTGGCGCCTGTGCTCGCCTCTGTGGGTGCGTCCCAGGGCGGCTGTGGCTACATCGTAGTCTTATCATCAGCGTGTGAACGGCTGAATGTGTTGTGAAGCACCTTGGGGGGTTGTATATATCTGTAGAGAAGTAAAAATGTAAAGAAGAAGAAGAAACACTAGAATGTAACTCAGTGTCGTTAGTAATCAAACCTACATGTGAACGTACCACAGAAGGAATCAGAGATTCGTAAATAGACTGAAGCATAAAATGAACTTAAATCAGTCAGAAAATGTGTAAAAGTTGCAAAAATCATCAAAATCACTAAGAACTGATAAAATAAAAGAAAATGGAGTTTGGATCAAACATAACAGTTAGTGGCGTTACTCACCGTTAACTGTCTTGAACTCAGTCGTATAACTATAGAAAACCCACACGATGACCACAACAAGGTCAACCAAGTGTGTGTGTTTTAGACATGAACTCTATCCACGCACACACACACACACACACTCAACAGAACTTGTGTGATGGGGCGACGGTGGCACAGGAGTTAAGTGCTCGTCCCGTAATCGGAAGGTTGCAGGTTCGAGCCCCGCTCAGTCTGTCGCTGTCGCTGTGTCCTTGGGCAAGACACTTAACCCACGTTGCCTGCTGGTGGTGGTCGGAGGGACCGGTGGCGCCAGTGCTCGGCAGCCTCGCCTCTGTCAGTGCGCCCCAGGGCAGCTGTGGCTACATCGTAGCTCATCCTCACCAGTGTGTGAATGTGTGTGTGAATGGATGAATGACTGATTGTGTTGTAAAGCACCTTGGGGGGCTCCAGGACTCTAGAAGGCGCTATATCAAATACAGGCCATTTACCATTTAAATCAGAGAACCGAGCGAGAGCGGACGGAAAATTCACCCCCCTTTTGGTTCGATTCCAGTTGGGTTGTCGGATTTATGGGTCGTAACATGAGTGGAACCCTTGTGCGGTTTGATTCGGTTCCTGTGGACCCACTTAGAGACGGGATCTTTGTTTCCTTTGGTGATCTTGATCTGATGCACGACCGGAGAGAGTTTTCATCACCAAACCTCACTCCAGTGGATTAGACTGGTCACGCCTGAACTGTTTACAGGATAAAGGAAAACCTGGTTCCTCTGTATTATAAGTGTGTGCAACACATCTCAGTCGTCTTTAAGAACATTTATTTGTGTGTGGCTGCATGCAGTAATCGACTGAGAAGCATCGCCAGGCAGCTGCTGTTGTTAGACACCAGAGGAGGCTTCTTCCTTTTGCATAAAATATGCAAAACGTGCGTGGGTTGTTGAAGTTGCTTTCGTGTTTGTCCCAACAGGCACCTGTACTTCCTCCAGATCCGGAGTGACATTAGAGAAGGACGGTCAGTAGTGCAACTTCAAAGCCAGCTGCCCGTCGTCTGGTGCTCGGTGTTTGTTTAGCTATGGCGTGTGTAATCATCCCGTCTGATTGCAGGTTGCAGTGCCCGCTGAGCGCAGCTGTAGTGCTGGCCTCTTACGCTGTGCAGTGTAAGTCCAACCGCCTCCCAGATTTAAAACAGATGATTAGTGAGTCAGCAGCACCTGGGGAGTAAACACTTGTCAGGATACATGAATGTGTGCTGCTAGTTGTGAGATCGTTTCCAGTGGATGCTCAGTGTCTCTTTCCATCACCTGTAGCGGAGATGGGGGATCACTGTCCGTCCCGACTCCCTGGTTACCTCTCAAAATCCTACTTCATCCCCAAACAGGATGAAGACTTCTTATCTAAAGTGGAAGACCTCCATCCACAGCACAAGTAATTTAGACAGTTTATTACCTCAGCAGAGCAACGTGTTTGTTGTAGAGTTCCTGTTGTTGTGTGTGACTGTGTGTGTGTGTGTGTGTGTGTGCGTGCGTGCGTGCGTGCGTGTGTGATCTCAGGGGACTTAAGCAGAGCGAGGCGGAGCTGTGTTTTCTCAACACAGCACGGACTCTGGAGTTATATGGAGTGGAGCTTCATGCTGCTATGGTACCATTACCCCTCAGATTCACCTCATTTCATCGTAACATCATCTTCTTAAAGAGCAAGTCACCCCCTACCAGAGTATGACTCCGCTCCCACTTCCTGTTTGAAAAATACAACAAATGCTGTTGTACCGAGACCGAGAGGGCGGAGCCGCTAACAAATACACACACACACACACATACTCTCACAACAACATTGTGACATCATATGGTACCAGCTAACGTTCTAGGGAACCTCTTAGCCAATAGCGATGGCAGATTTAAATTCAAATGCAGTGCAGAGTTTTTACCCGACAACGGCACAACACTGACAGTTTTAGGCAGAAAATTAAAAATTTAATTAAAATGCACTAAAGTGCAAAACTATTGACTACATGTGTCTGCAGCACGATTAGACACACATTTATATAGTTTATCAGAAAAAAAAAGTTGATTTGGGGGTGACTTGCTCTTTAATGTAAAAGTCTGATAAAAGTGCCTTCGGTTCTTTTTTAGAAACATTTTATAAGAAAGGATGTTTAAATAATTTCGGACACCCATTTATGATCAGATAATTGTTGAATTTGCACATAGACAATATATATAATTTCTATATTAAGATTTTTCTTCCTGAGGCCAAAAAAAGTGCAGAGAAAACTCTTAAACAGAGAAATGAAGAACAGAAGTATTTGACGTTTTGACCATATTCTTTTGCATCAAGTTCATGGCAGGATAACAAAGTCACTGACCTTTTATCAGAAGCTTTCAACTTGGCTAGATTAAGTGAACCAAAGTGACCAAAGAAGGACCCCGATCTTGTTTTTGTTGCTGACATTAAGAGTACCCATCAAATCCAGGGAATTTAATGAGTCTTTCAATCAACCCATTAATGAATCCAACTTTTTTCATTTTCAGGATGTTAATAATTCACCTCTGATGGTCGGTTTGGCCTCAAGTGGTGTTGCAATCTTCTGTAATACGGTTTGTTCCAGTTTCTTCCCCTGGTGAGTAACGGTGCTGCTCATTAGCCAGCTCATCCTCCCATCTTCTCAGTGTTTGACTGGTTTCGATGATCCCACACAGGGGGAACATCATCAAGATTTCATTTAAGAGGAAACGCTTTCTTATACACCTAAAGCGCAAACATGTGAGTGTCTTTCTTCATTTAACGAATCTACTTTTACTTTTACTTTTACTTTTACTCACTTGACACGCTTGGAGGGCGAATCCATTTCCTCTGTGAAACTTGTCTGGTATTCTGTTCTTTAAACTTTAAACGGCATCAGTTTAAATGACACGTTTCCCTCTCAGTGATTCTGTGCGACAGAAGTGTTTACAGTTTAAAGTAACAGAGCAGGTTCCTGCTCCTCTGCCCTACTGGTGGAAAATGGAATTACAGCTTTCATAACAACCCTGCAGCAGCCTGATGTAGCTAGCGCTAACAACGAGCTAACACTAACATGAGCCAAATAATACTAAAGTAAACCACAAAGTAAAAAGATCCACACTGTTGGACAAAAATATTATTACTTACAAGTCCAGTAGCAACAAAGCCAGGTCACCATTAGTCCGTGATTATGTAGCCTTCTTTAGCTCCCTCAAACTAGCGTAGGCCATACCGCTAAAGTAATAAAGTATTTTTGAACCGATGTTCACTCTAGTTTTACTCTATTACTTTTACTCCCAGGCTCTGCCATGATACCAACAGAAAATGCAAACCTCATGTTCTTGTGCTCTTTATTGAAAATTGTTGAACTGAAAGTGCTAACTGCTAGCATTACAGCTAACCGCAGTAAAGCAGGCAAAGCGCTCCCGCTTTAGGGCACCTACCTGCTCCACAAAACTGTTACGTGTGGTTTTTGGTCAGTAGAGGGCAGCAGAATGGTGTCTGATAAGAAACTGGCCAAGTTTCTTACTCAAGAATCACTGAGATCAATGATAGCTTAAAGTAAAAAAAAAATCTAGTGTTCCTTTAAGAATCCAACTATGAAATAATCACAAAACAGTCTAATGACTCAATCATGGTAAGAGCAAGGTTACACTGAAACAGAGTTCCCTCTGAGCCGGCTGGGGGGTTGTCAGTTCCTCTCCTTTCAAAAAAGCCAAAGAGGGACGTTGTCATTGTTTACAATCTAGGGTTACTAGCTACCACTACTGCACTTGCATTTTCAGTTCGACACCGGTCAGCAAAAAGTCCTTGAGGTGTGGACAGCATGTTAGCCATTAAAGGCATGTTATGCAACTTTTTGTATTTTTAAATAATTTCCTTAAACCAGTATGCTTTACCGGGTTAATGAAAAGTCACTCAGACCCCACCGCCCTCTGGAGCCAGAATATAACACTTGCAACTTCAGAGTATCCGGAGCGGTCCCTGTTAGTCAATTGTAAAGTGGAGCTAACATGCTAGTGCTGGAGTCTGCTTCCAGGAAAGGATTCCTACATGATTTAGATCATGAACGCCACTGATTTGTTTGATTTAACAACAAACCGCTCTTGTAGAAGCTAATGATAAATGACCCACACTTGTATAGCGCCTCTCAGAGTTAGGACTCCAAAGCGCTTTACACTACAGTGTATCATTCATCCATTCACACACACATTCACACACTGATGGTGATGAGCTACGATGTAGCCACTGCTGCCCTGGGGCACACTGACAGAGGCGAGGCCACAGGCGCCACCGGTCCCTCCGACCACCACCAGCAGGCAAGGTTGGTTAAGTGTCTTGCCCAAGGGTACAACAGCAGCTGTCCGGAGCCGGGATCGAACCTGCAACCTTCTGATTACTGGACAACCCGCTCAACCTGTTGAGCTACTGCTGCCCCAAATGCCCAATGCCCCCTAATGAAGGCTAAGGAGACATTTCAGCAGTTAGATGTTAAAGAGACCAACTTTTACTTTTGGTTTTGCGACAGTGAATTAATAATGGATTCTAGGGGTGCTAAAAGCAAGTTAAAACTACCAAGTGTGCGGAGTAGAGGCTAATGTAGAGCTAACAATGCTAATGATGAATCATGGGCTCGACACACGGGAGGCGACAAACGACCGCGATCAGCGAAATTTGTCGCCGTTGCTTTTATTACCTGACACACGGAAGGCGATCCGCGGCCAGCGGCAAAGCCGTCTACGCGTTCTGTTCCATGGCGAAATCAAAACCGTTGTTTTGATTGGCTGTGTCAGGTTGGAGGGAATTAAGGTTATTTAAGCGGTTCAGAGTTAATAAAGCGGTAGATATGATGTTTCACAAGGTGCTGCTAGAGTTATGTGAAATCTTACTTGTGATTTTACTATAAAACATAATAATAATCAACTTCTCCTTCATGTTTGCTCGGAGGTGTACGGAGCATCCTGTCCGCTCATTGGTCAGTGAATGAAACCTCCGTTGATTGGTCCTCGTCCGAGCGACAGCGATGAAAAGTTGAAAATGTTTCAACTTTCAGGGATCGCGTCGCTGGGTCGCCTGTGCACGATACGTGCACAAGCGCAAAATTTCACACGCACATTTTTCGCGTTTCGCTTGGTAGGAGGGAGACCCGCGATTATCGCTTTGTCGCGCACGTCTCATTGAAAATGAATGGAGGAGAGGCGATGTCGCCTCCCGTGTGTCGAGCCCATCAGGAGCAAATAATCAGCTCCAAATAAATCTCAAGATACTTTTTATTGCCAACAACTTGATGTTACAGTGAAATGTGTTTATCCACTTATCAACTTACTCAAATCAAATCAAACTTTATTTATACAGCACTTAATCCTAAAATACATGCAACTTAAAGTGTTTAACAAATTAAAAAGGCCCCGCAGACCCACATACCCACATTCCCTCCCATCTCCAGAGTTTTAAAAACAGTCTGAGAATAAAAACCCCTTCACAACACCCCCACCCCCTCCCGGAAAAAAAAACATAAGGATAAGGAAACGCCAGCAGGGGAGCCATCCGCCCCGACCGCAGCAGATCCACAGCAGCAGCACTGACACAGGGCGCCCGGGGCAGGAAGGACAGAGACCCCCACCTCCACCCAGGCACACCTGGAAAGCACCCAGGTCACCACAGCCGACCACCGCCCCTGGGGCAGAGGGCTCCCACAGAGGAAACACTGGAAAAAGGTTAAATTAAGGTTAAAATCTAAAATAATAAGAGCTAAAATGAAAAATGTAATTTAAAAAGTTATATAGATATTAAAATTATGTTGATCATAAATCTATGGTTAATATATATATATATATATATATATATATATATATATATATATATATGTATATATATATATATATATGTATATATATAAACTGTTTAAAAATAGCATGTATAAAAAAAGAATACATTAAATAAATAAATAGATATGTAAAGAATGGGTCATTTACATAAATAAATAACCTAACTAATTAATTTTAAAAGTGATAGTAATCAGTTAAAAGCTAAGCTACAAAGATGGGCCTTGAGCCTGTTTCTAAAAACACGAACGTTCTCTGCGGCCCTGAGTATGATTCGTGAAAACTCGTTATCTAGAATCTTCTGGTGCTGATCCGTAACTGGCAACAGCCACGAAGCTCACAGAACGGGGCGCTGTACCGATTACAGGAGGTCATTCTTACATGATGCACCTTTAAGTTCCAAAATGAGATGACGCGACCTTAAGTGTGGCGTTGATCCACAACGATCCCTAACGCTGTTTGTGTTGCAGGGCGAGACACAGGACTGTGAGGTGGCGCTGGTCCTCCCATGTCCTAGGACCTGTAAGAACCTGTGGCGGTCCTCCGTGGACCACCACTCCTTCTTCTCCTCCAGTCGGATTGCCAGGAGCCCCAAACACAACAACAGCACTGTTCAAATTTACAAAAAGCTGATAACGCAACACCTGGGTCTTGGAAACAGTAAAACTGAAACGTGAGCTTCTCATTTTTTTATTCATCACCTAAAATACGGCAGTTTACGAATGTTTTCTCTGTTTCGTTGCAGTGGTCCGGTGTGCCAGCGCGTGGTAGGAGGGATGGTGTGGAACCCGGTTTTACGTAGGTCGCTTTCTTCAGAGCATCTGGAGACCAAGAGTCTTCCTTCCAGATCTCCCCCATCTACCCCCAACTGGTACAGCTGCCAACACCATGTGATGTTAACAAAACAACCATTTTTTATCATCTTTTGCTCGCCTCTGTGGCAGGCGAAGTCCTAGAGTTCGCCACGGGCTCAGTAAACCTCGCCCATCATCGATGGAGCTCACCACGGACCTGAAAGACCTGTCGGAGGGAGAGGATGTCTTCTACACGTACAGGGCGTCTGTGAGCAGCAACAAGGACAGCGAAGGAGACGCCTCGCCTCATAAGTCAGTGTCTCAGGAACTTTTAAAGCTAAAGTTTAACACGTTACTGCGGTAAATCATTCGGTTTGGGTCCAAACATTCGTTTCAACTGAATCAGTAAGAAGTTATCTTTGTTTTCTGTCCTCCAGCCGTTCTGTCTCTAACAGCGAAGGAGCCGGTGAGTCTTTGTTACAAACCGATGACAGCATAGGAGAAGACGACGGCACACACCACAGCGATAAGGTATTTTATCTCCCCTCCGAAACTTTTTTATTACTGTCCATTCATTCATTCATTCATTGCGTTTGTGTGAGTCGATAACGAGATTTCTGTGCAGAGCGCTCTGGGCGACGGTGATTTGATGCTCATATGCATCACTCCAGACCACGAGGGCAAGTTTGGCTTTAATGTAAAAGTAGGTTTTCTCTCTCCCTCGTACACACACCAAGGTTTTATTATTCACCTCGGTGGTTAAATGATTTAACCTCTTCCAGGGTGGAGTGGATCAGAAGATGCCTCTGTCTGTCTCCCATGTTAAACCGGACTCCCCGGTAAGAAACCGGATTCTTTTGTTCAGTTCAGATGATCCAGGCGGTCAGAGTGGAGAACGAAATATACTAAAATAACATTACAGCTTCAAACTCACAGACATGATCAAAACATTTGTTGAAAGGCTTCAGAGAAGCCAGTTTAATTCAAATAAATCACTAATTATGAAAATTAACTCCGTACCGTGCTAGGGATGGGTACCTTTGACATTTGAATCGATTCGGTACTAATTCCCGGTACCTAGGAATCGATACCGGTACTCAACGGTACCAATTTTAGATACTTTTGAGTGTTTAATATTTTAATTCTCTTTTATAATTAAATATATATTTTTCTCAATATATGACCATATTTGATAAATATCACGATAAATAACATACAACTGTTTGTATTTTAACATCGTCCTTGTAGTTTTATAAGCTGATAATTAAACTGAAGCAAACATCTTTACTGTGAACTAAATTTACTGTGTATCTTCATTCCTTTTGCCGTCCTTTTTCTTTGATTTTTCCTACTGGGAAGTTAGAATTTCCGAGGAGAAAGCGAACGCACCATTAGCTGATAACAGTGGTGGCAATGGAAGCTAACATACCAAGCTAACGTTATCTTAAACAGTTTATTTAGCTGCTGGAGCAGATTAAAACAATGATGCCTCACACTTAGATCGTTGTCGCTGGTTTCATCTTCACCCAATCACCCGTCGCATTTAGTAAAGTGAAGCCAAACTTTAGAGCGCGTTCATGTTCTTCTAGTCGGAAATTCGGAGTTCCGAGGAGAAAGCAAACGCACCATTAGCAGAACGGAAGCTAACATATCAAGCTAACGTTATCTTAAACATTTTATTTACCTACCGGAGCAGATTAAGATGAGGATGTCTCACTTAGATCGTTGTCGCTGGTTTCATCATCACCCAGTTACCCATCACATTTAGTGAAGTGGACCCAAGCTTTAGCGTGCGTTCTTTCTACCATGCTGCTCTGTTTACAACACGCTCGCAGCGACCAACGACATAACGCTCTTGCGCATGCGCAGCTGTCTAGGCAAGTTCTCGTTATGAAGGACGGGTACCGAAACGACACACCGTTTCAAATGACGTGAATCGGTGCTTAGTCGGTACTATGGAATTCGGTCGGTACCTTAAAAAGTACCGAATTCGGTACCCATCGCTAGTACAAACATAACCAACAGAAGAATTTAATTTGGGATTTCTGTAGATGGAGTTTGGGTCTCTAATTTCCCTCTGGGATTAATAAAGTATTGATTGATTGATTGATTGATTGATTGATTGATAAATCTTACAAGATCGTTGTGTGGCATGATCGGTCTGGCAACCCTGGCCAGGTGTTGTTTCTGCTGTTTGTTACCTGGATCAGGTGTGTTCAGCCAGTTAGAAGCCGCAAGTTCATGCAGGACTGCGGCTCTCTGAGACCGGGGTTGCCTACCCCTGGTCTGGGGAAATACAGAAATGGGGCTGAGAGTGGAGCAGATGTTCTGACCCAATGTAGCTATGAGCTAACAGAGCTAAACATAGCTAACGGGGGTTGGTGGGAGCTTTTAGCCAGAAAACTGCTGTTTAAAGTGACAGTGTGTAGTTTCCCTGGCGATAGGGGGCAGAGCATACCTAAATGATTGTGTTCAAGTAAGACTTTACCTACGAATGGCCATTAGGGTCAAACATCTCTGGGAGCACAACATCCAGCAAAAATAACAAGAACACCAGATTCCCTTTCATCACCGGCAACGAGTGAAGAGGTAAACGTGTAAATCAATGTTTATTAATGGTGAAAGTTCTGTAACCAAATCAGTAAATGCATTTTGTCCACACGGGCTTCCGTAGAAGGAAACATGGCATCTAATATGGCGCCGCCCAGAGACTTGGACCCACTCCCATGGTTATATGTTGTGAAACTGCCAAAAATTGTAATCCGCTGGGCATCTTTTAATTTGTTTACAACAACATTAGATGGATATTTCCAGAGATTAATGGTAAAAACTACACATTGTCACTTTAAAGGTGTGGTTCACTGAGAAAACATTTTTTAAATGCTGAGTGTTTCATGCAAGCTGAACATGAAAATAGTCTCCTACACCTATCTCCTGCAGTAGCTTCTGGTAGAAAACAGACGGTGAAACTCTAGGATAGAAAATCCTGACAGATCTACGTCACCCTGTCACTAACATTCATGGATTCACCCATCTGGACTCACGACGGGGAAGGCTGTTGTTGGTTTAGCGTCCAGGAAACAGCAGAGAACGTCTCCGCTAGTAGAAGCTAACGGTTAGCATTAGCAATTCCACCACACAGCAGAACTCCTCCAGACTTGTGTTTTTCGTGGCGATAAAACGGCTCATCTGCTATCTGTCAGTGAGATAGACACGCCACTAAATATTCACACTTTCAAGCTTTAGTTACATCAAAGTACATGAAACACAGAAGGATTTGCCCCCGAGTTGCCATGACGATAAACATGAGTGTCAATGGGAAGTTTCACCTTTCTGGAGCCAGCCCCTAGTGGACGAGGGGGGGACTACATGTTTGTCACTTCTGCGTTGGCAGAGTTTTCCAATGATTTAAACAGCTGATAAAAATAATCGTTTTGCTAAAATAATTCATGATCAAAAATACAAATCCTGAACTTCAAGCTGTATTTTGTCTAGTTTTAGGTTAGAGGGTCGAACTAGAAGTGTTAGTACGTTTGGTTTATAACAGGCTTTTAAATGTAAAACATCAGGTTTTTTAGGAATCTGGATTAAAATGAGAATTTTCAGTTTACATGAAAATATCAACTTTTGAGGTCCACATCTGGCAGGGAGCTGGATGTTTTTCTAATATTTCAAATGTCTCTGGTATTTTTAGGCTGGCCGGTCTGAGCCCAGACTCCAGGAGGGAGACCTGGTGGTTCTTATCAACGGTCGAGACATATCCGAGCACACGCACGACCAGGTCGTCATGTTCATACGGGCCAGCAGAGAATCGCACTCCAGACAGCTGGCCCTGCTCATCAGACGCAAAGGTGATCCGGAGGAAAGCTCTGAAATTTGTGGGTTTTTTTATGTTTGAATATGTAATCAGCCTTGAACTGTCCTTCTAATCCAGGTTCAAGCCGGGTGGCGTCCTCGCTGCAGCTGCCTACTGCCCTCACGCTCACCATCCAGTCACAGGAAAACAAGCCGGCGTCTCCTGGTCAGTCGGAACGGGTCGCCACGCAGGAGGAGTCGATGAAACAGCTGGAGAGAGGGATCCAGTCTGGCACTCTGTGCTTCCACTTTGAGGTATTTCAAATCTTAGCAAAAGGGCTAATGAGCGTTTGTCTTTTCGTAATGATGTGGAGAGTCATGATGAGAGCGTTGCTTGTCAGACAGATGTTGGCCCTAATCTTCAGCCGGAAGCTGCTCGTAGAAACAGAAGCTGTGGCTGGCCTGGATTCTTGTTTTGTGTTCAGCTTTTGGATGTTACTGTTTGTTTACTTGCATGTTTGTGTGTGTTTGCATGCTTGTAATTCCTAGAATTTATACAGGAGGAAGCCTGGTTTGTCACTAAGCTGTGCACGGCTGCCTGAGAACGTGGAGAAGAATCGATACAGGGATGTTTTACCTTGTAAGTTTGCTCCCTCACTGCCCGGTGCTTCCACCGCCCTCCACCCCTCTCAGCTTCGTCTCTCCGCCGCCTTTTCCGACCCTGAACTGGATCTGGCTCTGGGTCCTGATGTTTAAGTGGCGGCGGCGCTTTGACGGCTCTGTTCTGACCCTCACCAGCTGCTGTCTCGCTCTTGTTTCAGACGATGCCACCAGGGTGGTGCTGCGGGGTCAGGAGGACTACATCAACGCCAGCCACATCAAGGTGAACTCTGCTCGCGTGGAACCGCCTCCTCCTTGCCTGAACCGTTCGTTTAGGCTCATCCTGTTTGTGTGTGTTTGTTTGTTTGTCTCTCAGGTGGCGCCGCCGGCGTCCGGTGTGTGTTTACGTTACATTGCATCTCAGGGTCCACTGCCGCAGACCTTCGCTCACTTTTGGCAGACAGTGTGGGAACAGCAGATACACACCATCATCATGCTCACGACGCTAACAGAGAGGGGACGGGTAAAATACACTTTGTTGCTCTGAAGCAAGCAGGCGCTGTTGAAATTACACGACCCTGTCGGTGGTGCATTAACGCGGTGATTACTGCAGCACCACTGGCTAATTATTACATGCTGCGTCGTGTTCAGTTCGATACGTGATTATTACGGTAATGAGGGGGTCCAGCGGTGATGTTTGCACACAACCGCAATCAGACGGCACGGTTGTGAGCAATTACTGGGTTTCTCAGCAAAACGTGAGTGTGGACCAGATCCCAGGGAGATGAATAACTCTCGTCCGCACGGACGCAGGGAGAAATAAAGGTGCTCCCTGAGTGAACATGCGTTCTTCTCAGCTTGCCTGTTGCCTGGTAACCAGATGTTCTCATTAACTGATCATTTCCCTGAAGCTCATCAAGTGTCCAGAGTTTGTTTGTTCTGCACAAACAAACACACAGATTGGCTTTCAGTTCACATCCTGCCGCTGATGAATTGCTCTTGTTCCCCGGACCGCCCCGCGCAGCAGCGCAGGCGCTTGAATACGAGTTTGATTTCCTGAGAGCGGAGCGCAGCTGCTGTAGCCGCAGCAGCTAAGAGCCGCTTTCTGACTCATGACTCACGCCAGAAGTAATGTAATATGTCGGTGATGTCACACGCTTTGCAGACCAAGTGCCACCAGTACTGGCCGCATCCGCCGGAAGAGAAGGATTACGGCCACCTGAGGGTTACGTGTCACTCGGAGGAGTGCAACCTGGCATACGTGACGCGACAGTTCACCCTGCAGAACACACAGGTAGAGTGACTAAGAGCTCCAGTGAGTCATTTTTGGAGGATTGTACAAAAGACAGTTCGTTTGGATCTAATTATCTTCAAAGCAAACGTTTTATTATTTTTCTTTTAAGCTATAAAAGCTCTAAGGTCAATACAGAACATGTTCATGGAGGGTTTTTTGTACACATTGCATGTGCGTTAGTATGTTCTGCTAATTTAGCAAAGCGTGTGTGCATGTGTGTGGTTGTGTGTGCGTGTGGCCGCTCCTGTTTTCTGCCCAACTGCATGGTGGTAGATTACCAGATTAGAGGTGCTGCTTTCCACATCAGCCTCCATGGTGAACAGGTAAATAAACGGATTACGCTTGAGGAGGCATGAAATATGAACACACTCACATGCATGCACAGAGACTGCCGTGTGGGCCCATCTGTTCCTCTGGCGGAGTGAATTAATCCCTGCATGGAGTCACAGACCACATGCCCATTAAAACTCCAGAGTCAGCCATTCTCCTCCCATCCTTTCCTTGTTTTTCCTGCTTTGGATGCAAACCTCCATTCCACCTGTTTTCTCTCTCCGAGAGTCACCTGCTGATCACGTGGATGTGTTTTCTGTCCTGGACATTTGCAGTGCTGCGATGTCTCATGTGGATGACATTTTAAAGGGACATTATGGAAGTCTGACAGCCAAAACATGTATAGAAATAATAAATGTCTTCTTCATACGTTCTCCTGCAATGCCCTGGTCCTGTAGAATGAGCCCTGGCATTTTTACTGTGATTGCCTGTTTTTCTGTAAAATCACAGAAAAAGAGAGATGCTCGGGTCGAGCAGGCTGCTTCATGCGCGTTCACGCTCAGGCATCGCCCGTAGCGTTTGCTATCCGTAGCTTTAGCAGCAGAGAGAGAGGCAGTGCCACTTTGTCGCTGTTCCTAACGCCTAGTGACAAAGCTAGCTACATTTCTGAGGACCCTTAGCTACTTTCTGTAGGACTTTCTTCTAGATATTTCCTGCTAATTAGCAACAAAATAGCCATTTTCACTCCGAACCGTTCTTTGAACGTTGTTTCAGCTGTCATCAAGGATATAAATGTTACAGACACAAAAGATGTTACTGGCGCTTTAGCTCATCTAGAAAGATGACGGATTCCCATGTGGAAGATCCGGGTTTGATTCTGGATGTGAACAAAATTTATGTAGAGTTTCTTTTTTACATTAATGGTATTTTTTTTTTACAGTAAGACGCCCAAATTTTTATTTGAGACTCGCCGAACGGCTTTGAATTCACAGATAAAAAAGATGTGGGTTCAACTTTCATTGTGGAACAATTTTTCAAGCAAGGGAAGGGAATGATCTGAGCATGCAGGAGGACTGACCCATCATAAACCTTTGTCGGCTGTGCTGCAGAGAAAGGTACAGAACCACATTATTTAATTAATTAGCTGCACGTTCTCCAGTCCTCTGTCCTCCGACACACACACACACACACACACACACGCACGCACGCACGCACGCACGCACGCACGCACGCACACACACACACACACACGGGACTGTCTCAGCTGTTATTTTCGTTAAGGAGTGTGCACGTACAGCATGCGCGCCTCGTGCACAAGCCTACTAATGAAGCTGCCGTTACGCTTTTTGCCTGAGGGGGCAATCGCGAGCATAAAAATTCAAAACTCCGTAAAGTCCCTTTTACAAAGGTTACATGATGTTAAAACTAATTGTGCAATACTTGTAACTAGGGATGAGCGAGTACACCACTATCTATCTGTATCTGTTCAACCATCTAAATTATCTGTATCTGTATCTGTACTCGGAGTGGGCGTGGCCCTAACCGGAAGTGGGTGTAGTTTAACCAGAAGTGGGTGTGGTTTGCATCAATACGTTATTTTAAGTCTGATCAGAAGTTGCTATGTGTATTGTTTATTTGAAAACTGTTTACAGAGCAGCCTCAGAGCTGAGATTAAATGTTTTTGATCACAATAGTAAAGGAACTATTACAGAACAAGTTTTTCAATAAAATCAGAACATTAACATTTAAGTGCATGCATTAAGAGAGAGAGAGAAGAAAAGATCTTTTCTATAGCGCCTCTCAAGATAAAAATCACCGGGTGCTTAGCAAAAACAAAACATGTAAAATAGAAAAAAGAATTTAGAAAATGATTGGAATTTATTAAAAAAAGAGCAAAAAATAGACAATTATGAATAAAAAATGTAAAGAATGAGAGAGAGAGTGAATAGGAAAGAGGGAGTGGATCCTGAGGAAGAGGAGAGAGAGAGAGGAAAAAAAAAACGACCGGAGCGGAGGCAGTGACTGACGCAGCACGAGCCGTTTTCAGCTCTGTCTCGTCAAATGTACCACGTACGTTACGAAAAAAGTAACTTTAAATAACTTTAAAGTAACTTTAAAAAGAAGCAAACTGAAGAAAACATAGGGAGTACTGAAGAAACGTGAACAGTGAAGCAAGCACAGAGAGATCCGCTACTGTGTGTGTGTGTGTGTGTGTGTGTGTGTGTGTGTGTGTGTGTGTGTGTGTGTGCGTGTGTGCGTGTGTGCGTGCGTGCGTGCGTGCGTGCGTGTGGATGGACCGGACGCGGACTGAGCTCCCGGCTGCAGAGTTTTGTGTGTAGGGAGGGGCGGGTGCTCTATGTGACTGGCCAATCACAGAGCGTGAAGACAGTCAGTTACCCAATGAGGATTTTCCTTCAGCACGATTACAGATATTTACCAGTTTTACACGTTTCACGCTCGTACTCGTCAAAAATGCTTTATCCGTACCGGATACTCGTCTGAAACGAGTATCCGGCTCATCCCTACTAGTAACTGTCGTGCATTATGTATTGTCGTTCTGTGTGCTCAGCTGGACGAGGAACGGGCTGTCACACACCTGCAGTATGTGGCGTGGCCGGACCACGGTGTACCCGATGACCCGTCCGATTTCCTGCTGTTCATCAGCTCCGTGAGGGAGAGGAGGAAAGGTGAAGAGCCGCTAATGGTACACTGCAGGTAACACACACACGCATATGCAAGGATTAATTTTAATTGAACACTGCTCAAAAAGAACATGGTGTTAATTTGAAATGGTATTTTCAGTGCTGGGATTGGACGGACAGGTGTTCTGATCACCATGGAGACGGCGCTCTGCCTGTTGGAAGAGGGTGGGCCGGTGTTTCCACTGGAAATTGTGAAAATACAGAGAGAGCAGCGAGCCATGATGGTTCAGACCACGGTACTGACGAACAGAAGTTCAGCTCTTCCTCTCCGCCTCACGAAGGGCTTTATGGCACCGCATCGTGAGCTCTCGCCGTTCTGATGTCACGTTCAGTCGTAAACGTCTCTGCTCTCATGGATAAAGAAAAGATTATTGTCTATCTAAAGCTCGTCGTCACAGAAACGCTAACTACATATTCTCCATCCTATTTTCAAACGTCTGCCGAGACTGGGCTTTCTTAATTTTCCTCGTGTTTGTTGGTTTTAATGTTTTACATTAATGATGTGTGTATGAAGATTTTTCTGAAAACACCCACTGGAAAACTTAAAGAGCAAGTCACCCCCTACCAGATTCTTACTCAACTCCCACTTCCTGTTTGAAAAGTGCAACAAATGCTGTTGCCTAGCAGACCGAGAGGACGGAGCCGCTAACAAATACACACACACAGGCTGACAACGGCATTGTGACATCATATGGTACCAGCTAACGTTCTAGGGTACCTCTTAGCCAATAGCGATGGCAGATTTTAATTCAAATGCAGAGCAGAGTTTTTACCTGACAACGGCACAACACTGACAGTTTTAGACATAAAATTAAATTTGACCATATTTTCACGACCGTAGGGCGCACCGTGTTATAGGGCGCAGCTTCAGTTACGGGTGTCTTTTTGGTATTTAACACATACAAAAGTCGCACCGGGTTATAGGGCGCGGTAAAACGTACCGGTAAAACATCTGTGCGGGCTCGGGACTCGGGACATATCAGTGCAAACCAGACATTGTGAAAATTATAAACAGCCAAAAGCATGCTTCACTTTACTGGTCTAGCTCTGGTTCAGACCTGGTTTAGAGCGCACGTGCACTTCCTCATTGCGTGCGCTGACGGCTCGTGCTCTTCTTATGCGCTGATGCGCTGTGCTGAAGTCCAGAATGTGTTTACCGGTAGTTGGTGGATTTAACCACATGAACTTTCCACATGAACAAAATCATATGTGTGTTATTAATGGGCCTAAGAAAATAGTGTGATTTGAATTGTGTTTTATTAAAAAAGGCAGCGGGAGCACATATGAGTTCGGTTGTGCTTTATTTGAGTCTTTGAGTCTCGTTAACCCATTGCTCGAGGCGGTCTTCCAGCTCAGGCCACCTGGCTTTGTGCCCGCGGAAACCCCGCATGCGTCTTCTTTACTTGTCAGAGTTCGTTTTCCAACTTCCTCCACTTGCGAGCCATGGACTCATTAATGCTGAATTCTCTCGCCGCTGCTCTATTCCCGTGTTTCTCCGCGTAGCTGATCGCTTGCAGTTTAAACTGTGCTTCATAGGCGTGTCTCTTAGCAGGTGCCATTCTCAGGGTTGTCGGAGCAACGTTCAGCAGACCGCGCATACCTGCCCTTTTGAACTGTTTGGGGTCTGTCTTCGCTCACGTCCGCACGTTCACGCCACGCCCCTTGTCTTCTACCACATTCGCGTCTCACAACAACACAATAGGCGCACCGCACCATAGGGCGTGGCGTACATTTTGGAGAAAATTTAAGGTGCGCCTAACCCCGGGTTTCCACGGGAGCCGTCAGCAGCACGTTACTGCAGCAGCACGTCTTGCTCGCGTAAGCTGCTGCTCGGCCCTTCCCACGAGACGCGAAGCAGCAGGGGAGCAGCTGTCACCGACCGAGCACGAAGTCACACGAGTGACTTCGTCAGTAAACACAACAACAAGCAGGAGAAAACTACAACATGGTTTGTGTTTTATGTTCTGTCCGTTTTATAATCGCCAATACGGACCTGAAAAACAAAGGAGACCGCTAGCTAGGTGATAACTTCTCACGGGGCCGCACTTTTTTTAAAAGTAAAACAACCGGAAGGCAGTACGTTCTTTATTCTGAAAATCTCGGGAGCTTCTCTCCATTTCCGCGTCCAATTTCCTGTCTTTCCTTCCCCAAAAATGTCAAACTTGACCCGTTTCAGAGGCGTCGCACGTAGAAAATAGAACCGGCGCGTAAAGGCCGCGACATGCTGCTCCTGAGACGCGGCCGACTCGCGCTGCTGACGGCTCCGGTGGAAAAGGTTCTGTTGACCACAGCGGTTCCTATCAGCAGCTATGACGTGCTGCTGACGGCTCCGGTGGAAAGCCGGGGTTATAGTCGTGAAAATACGGTACCTAAAATGCACTAAAGTGCAAAACTATTGACTGCACGTGTCTGCAGCACGATTAGATACGCATTTATACAGTTTATCAGGAAAAAAAAAGTCGATTTGGGGGTGACTTGCTCTTTAATTATTTGAGGGTAAAAAATCCTCCTCTGCTCTGACTAATTCACACTTCCACTGTGTGATGGCTGCTGATGAGCAGCTCCAGTTGAGTGTTGGAGGCTGGCTGTCGTGCTCTGTGGCACCTCAGCTGTAGTACATGAAGGATAGGATCACTTTTCATTTGAACGGACCTGCAGGGCTTCAGATTTAATGCTCCCATGAAAACTTCCCAGATTTCCTTGTGAATCCATGTTCCAAACACGGTCAGAGGACATGCTCTCCACTCTGGGGATAGGTTTGGAATCAACCTTTAGGTTTGTACTTCTAAATCCTGTGAAACTCCCATTTTCAGCTCTTTCTGTGTGGCTCACTGCCTTGTGTCCAACTGGCTCCTGCTGGTCGTGTAAATGTTTGAAACCCGGTAACAAACGGTTGTTTCTGTGCGGGTTCAGAAGCTTTTGGTCGTTTCCCTCCCTCCCCTTGAGAAGATGGAGTCTTCCAGTTGCCATTTGTCAACCTTGAGACTGAGCTGCGTTTTCTGTGAGGTACGAACGATGTGCTGGTACAGATGGAAAGTATCGATCTGATGAATGATCACAACAACAATGTAGACTCAGAATGATGACGTTTACGATTCCTTTAATATGTCCATCGCTCGCTGCCGAAAGCATGTTGGACTTTTGGAAATCCATCTCGCCACTCATTGGACGGATTTGAATGAAACTCTCCAAACGTGATTATTGGGGTTACAGCTGCAGCTTATTAAAGACCAAGTTCATTAAGAAATGTTTTTTACTTGTAATTTTTTTGATAATTCAGTCTGAACGTGAAAATGGTCTTCGACCCGTTTCCTGTATTAGCCGCTGACAGAAAACAGACGTGAAACTCGGATTAGAAAAGCCTGACAGATCTGCGTCGCACTGAACATTAGCATTCATGGACTCACCCAGCTTGGCTCGCGGCGGGGAAGGCTGTTGTTGGTTTAGCGTCCACGAGAGAGCACATCGAACTCCTAGTTCCTGAAACAGGAGCGTCAGAGCTTTTTGTCCACAGACATCGACTCATACCACTGCAGATGTTGGAAAAAAGAGCGACCTTGGTCTTTAAAGAGCAAGTCACCCCCAAATCAAAAATTTTTTTGCTCATAAACTATATAAATGAGTGTCTAACCATGCTGTAGACACATGTGGTCAATAATTTGGCACTTTAGTGCATCTTAGTTCAAATTTAAATTTTCTGCCTAAAACTGTTAGTTTTGCGCCCTCTTCAGGTAAAAACTCTGCACTGCATTTGAATTTAAAACTGCCATCGCTATTGGCTAAGAAGGTACCGTATGACTTTAGCTGGTACATTATGATATCACAATGTCGTTGTGAGCCTGTGTGTGTATTTGTTAGCGGCTCCGCCCTCTCGGTCCGCCAGGCGACAGCGTTTGTTGCATTTATCAAACAGGAAGTGGGAGTGGAGTAAGACTCTGGTAGGGGGTGACTTGCTCTTTAACTTTGGAGTAAACCCTATTCAAGGTGACTGCCGTTGCTATTCAAAGTGAGCAAACACAAAAACTGCTGTGATTCGGTCGGTTTTACAGATACTTGGATAAACATTCATGTGGAGTCTTTCCCAACACGTATTCGGAGTGCTCATATTTCATGACATTTTGCGATGTTAAATTATTTTCATCATTTGAGATAAATGACAACATCTCCTAGCCTGGCAAGCCGATTTTAAAGATACAGCCTGGCCACGGCCCATGGACAGACTCAGTTGTGAGGCAGAATCCACGGTTGTCTTTCAAAATGTCTCCGCACGCAGCTGGACAGCGCTAGGACCAATCAGAGCAACAGACAACGTGCCGTACTCGTTGCTATGGAAATCAGTCAGTGGGGCTGACTGCCATACGTCGTCCAAGAAGAAGAAACAAATGCATTCTTTTTGAAAACACAGGGGGCTGCACAGTGGTGCAGTGGTTGGCGCCGTTGTCTTCCAGCAAGGAGGCCCTGGGTTCACATCCCGGTCTGGGGTCTCTCTGCATGAAGTTAGCATGTTCTCCCTGTGCATGCTTGGGTTCCCTCCGGGTTCTCCGGCTTCCTCCCACCGTCCAAAAACATGACTCGGGTTGACTGGTTTCTCTAAACTGTCCTCAGGTGTGAGTGTGTGTGCATGGTTGTTTGTCCTGTGTGTCTTTGTGTTGTCCTGTGATAGACTGGCAACCTGTGCAAGGTGTACCCCGCCTGTTTGCCCAAAAGCAGCTGGAGATGAGCGCCAGCCCCCCGCGACCCTGCGCGGAGAAGCAGGTTAAGAGGATGGATGGATGGATGGATGGATGGATGGATGGATGGATGGATGGAAATAAAGCACTTTAGTCCGTCTATCTGCTAATCTAAAGAAAAGCCCAAGTCAAAGTTGACACCAAAGCCGCTTCAAACAAGCGCCGTTCCTGAGCCGACATCATCTCTGTAGTTTTTCTCCGTCGCAGCTCTGGTGCTAAGCCCGCTCAACACCTCTACAAACACAGAACGCTGTGATTGGCCGGACTAAACTTGTTCTAGCCAACGGTATACCTGCTAGACCGACCTGTAGAGCTAGCTTTGCTGCTACGGTTGGACTAGGTTTAATATCTTCATCACCGCTCGACAAAAGAGGACCTTAGTTAAAAAGTCTTGGCGGTGGGTGATACGCGTTCTCTCGAGCTAGGTCTATAATTTTCTCTCATGCCATGTGTGATGAATAAAATGTCTTTAAAACTAATGACATTTCCTACAACCACTTACGGAGTAGCCGAGGCCATATTTACTTACTAATTAATGCCTTTTAGTGCATCCGAGTGTATCACAAACAAATGACCAACGTTACTGTTGGACATTAATGAAAAACCTTTTACACTGGTATGAATGATCAGATATGTGTCCTTTTTGTCCGATTTAGTCATTATTGCTGCATTATTTTCACAGAAATGGCCTCACTTTCCACCAATCCTCATGTTTTGTGTTTCACGTATTTTCAGTGTCAGTTCCAGTTTGTGTGTGAGGCCATTCTCCAAGTCTACAGAGAGAAGCAGGAGAAATCTTCAACACCACAGACTGAGTCCACACCGGAGCAAGAACAGACCCACTTATCTGCCTCTGATACTAAATAGGGGACATCCACAGATGGATTAAACTCCGTAGGGCGTATGGTACTAGAACACGGGCTGGATAATGAGAGGATAACAAACTGCAGAGCGCACCTATCAGTGCTGCGCCCTGCGAGAGTACGAGCATCCCACCTAGCTGGCCTTCGTTTTAACTAAAGATGCATTAGGCTTATAGAGAATGTGGTCTCCATAGAGACTGATAGAAGACTGATGTGAGCTGCTAATTTCTATACAAGAGGTTTTGCAGGAGTGATGCCTCTTGTTGAGCTGTGTGTGCCTTAGACTGAAGCTTCCCGGTCATCGGATCCATCGGAGGCTGATTGTTATGGCGCGGTATGGGGGCCAAAATTAAGACTACTGCCCAGCAGCAGGAGGATATATAAATTCCGAAGCAAACTACTGATCTGATTAATGATAAGCTGGCGCCGGTAACTGAGAGGCTGGCGCTGCTTACTGAGGAATAGCACCTTTACCGGTGTTATTACTAGTTACGCTAGGGACTAGCAGCCCTCGGCTGGTCATTGACTGGTTCAAACACTCCCTCTGCTGTCTATTAGCATGGATAGGCTAGCGTTAGCCTGGACGGGCTGGTGCTAGCATTGGAGAGGCTAGCCATTAGCATGTCTCGGAGAGTCACTTACTCTACTAGATGCATTTTTTTTTACATTTATTAAACGGATGACATACTACGAGACCTGCAATCACAGTTGTTCCTTTGACAGAACGCATTGTTATACACTTTAAGCATATTGTAAAGCCGACAGCCTGTTAGCATTGATTAGGTGCTGCGTAAACTCCATTTTGCTCTTAATTACAGGTTGATGGTGTTTTCTTTTTATATAGTTTGGTTTTCTTGCACATATCAGAGAAAAAGCCAGAGCTAACTAGTTAGTACTTTTCATCTTTGGATTTTAAATCCTTTGTATTGAATTACAGGTTAATGATTATTTAAATTGTGATGTTATCTTTATTAAAACTATATAATATGTACAAAAAAAACCACACATCTAATAGAGTAAGTGACTCTCCGAGACATGCTAATGGCTAGCCTCTCCGAAGCTAACGCCAGCCTATCCATGCTAAAGGTCCATCGAGGGGGTAGGAAATCCAGCTAGTGGCCAGCCTAGGCATGCTAATGGCTAGCCTCTCCGAAGCTAACGCCAGCCTATCCATGCTAATGGTCCGTCAAGGGGGTAGGAAATCCAGCTAGTGGCCAGCTAAGGCTAGCCTCTCCAATGCTAACACCAGCCCGTCCAGGCTAACGCTAGCCTATCCATGCTAATAGACAGCAGAGGGAGTGTGTGAACCAGTCAATGACCAGCCGAGGGCTGCTAGTCCCTAGCGTATCTAGTAGTAACGCCGGTAAAGGTGCTATTTCTCAGTAAGCAGCGCCAGCCTCTCAGTTACCGGCGCCAGCTTATCATTAATCAGGTCGGTAGTTTGCTTCAGAACTTATATAGCCTCCTGCTGCTGGGCAGTAGTCTTAATTTTGGTCCCCATACCGCGCCATATATTGTTGTAATCTGCGGTTTATCTCTGACTCCGAGGAGGAGGAGGAGCAAAGCTGACTTAGATCTCTGCCACAGGTTCTGTAGGTCAAAGGGGTACAGAGCTGTCCACCAGAGGAGCACCAAATTTTCTGCTCATCACTTTTAAATTATTCAAACACTCAATAAACTCACTGATTTATATCCATGTGTCTGCATTGTCAGTTTCTCTGATAAATAATGATTCTCATGCTGCTGACGTTAAGTCTGTTTTTCTGCTGGAGCTTATTTAGCCTTCAGCGTAGTGTCTCCAAAGATGGCCTCACATATCAATAAAAGCATCTCGGCACCCAAAACCTCGTTATGACGGATTAGCTTTGGAAAAGAGACGTAGCTCTGCTGTGTGTGCTGAATCTGCAGCTTTATTCTAGTGATTCCAGGTTTTGATTTCATAGCTGCTGCCTTTTGCAGTCATTACAGCTAAGCTGTAAAACTGCAGTCAAAAATCTCATCACGTTGCTCGTAAATTGTGTTTTCATTCAACACCAGCAGGTTTTTCCACAGAAATGCTAAATCTCTTGTTTTTTTTTTTACTATAGGCTATTTTCAGTCTGCGCTTGTAAGTTATTCAGAAAATTGCCTTGGATTTTAAAAATTGATTGTAGTGTAAGAGCTGCAAAGAACTGGGACAAATTCTTCTCAAAGAGGGTGACAGCTGTGAAAAGTTGCTGCATATGCTTGGGAGGCTGTAAAACGATTCGTGTTTAATTTATATAACAAAACACTTCTTTATGCAGGAGATCTCAGTTTTTATGATTTCTATGTTTTCTCAGTAAAATCCAATGAACTGCATTGTAAGCAAATATGTTTGATCTTCATAAATGTGATTAACACAGTTTTAGGCAACTGCATTTTGTTATGTAAATAATTATTTTACTATGAATAAAATAAGGAATATCAAATTAAGATGATGCACCTACAACCATCAGATTTGTAGATAATTAATGGTGTACGGTTAAAATACAGATAAAACCTGGTGGAATCAAATCACAATTCAAAATAAATTAAACTTTATTCACTTCAATTGTGAGTTTAAATAGTATATAAAGTATTGCAGTGTTTTAAAAGTTATTTCAGTTTTATTTTAATCTATTAAAAGGAAATCATTTCAGAATTAAAGTAATTAGAGATTTTGAGGGACAGCCTTGAAATAACGTGAATTTCTTTAGCTTGACATCACTAGTAAAATCAATCCATGAAATTCCATTTATTTGTATTTCGTCTTAAGGATTTATTTTCAATGTTTTTTAATAAAGAGTATTTTTATATTTTTTATTCACTGTTTATGATTTCTTATTTTAGTTTTTAGCCATTAATGAAAAATATCTTCGCTTTCGTTTCATATTAATATTCAACCGTTTGCTCCTCCGAGTCCTTTAAGAGGCAGGTGAAGGTCATCTATCGCCACCGAACTCGGGACCGGTGGACCAGTTCCCGCACCGGCCGACAGGTGGCGCTGTTTCTCCGGCTCTGACGGGTCACCAGTCGCGCGCGACAGAAGTTTGTTCTGCGCTGTGTTTGTGCGCAGGCGCACACCGTGCTGTTAGTCTAGTTTCACTGGTTGACTTTTACCTGAGCGGTGTTGGTTGGTAGTTTCGGTTCTCCGGTGGAAAAAGGACCAACAACCTACCGGAGTCCGGTCCAGGAGTGTTACGGGTCCTCCCCTCGTCCTCTCCGGCTCTGTGTAACTCAGGGTCCCCGCTGCGGAGCGTCAGACGGGCTTTCTCCGGGATTTTTGAGTCGGTGCGCAACAGCGAGAGGAGGCAGGTGTAGCTACGGTAGAGGACAGGACAGTAAGAGGTGGCGGTGCTGTTGCTGCTTCCGTCCTTCTCACCGGACCGAATGACTGGAAATCAACTGGTTGGGGCGTCGGTGACTTTTATTAGTATGCGGCTGGAGTCCCCCGCTGCCGCCGACATCCAGCCCTAGGACTGATCGGCAGCCCTGAAGTCTCCTCCGTGTCCGCTGAGTGACTCCTCGCCCCGGGGAGGTGGAGGAGGCGGCTGCAACAGAAGCAGGACCCCGACCGCAGCGGGCAGTTCTCACGGACGGAACACCTCCACCTGGATCAGGAAAATGATTGGTTTTCTGCGCCGGACGTTCAGCCGCCGGAGCCGCATCCAGACGGGAGAGAGGGTCGAGCAGGACGGTCCGGGGGGCGGAGGAGGGGTGAGCGGGAACCCCTTGCTCCTGCCCCATCAGCAGCAGGTCATCCACACCCCCGCCGTGGTCACGGGAGGAGCATCGGTTCACATCCCGGCTGCTGGAACGGCGAGGAGCGCCATCACATGCCGGGTCCTGCTGCTGGACGGTTCGGATGTCAGCGTGGATTTGCCTGTGAGTGGCTCCGTGTGTTTACACCGAACCAGCGGACAGGGTGACAGTGGCGGAACCGGCGGTGGCACAGATCAGATCAGTGTTTGTCAAGGTGGGGCGTGGGGGACACCGAGATGTCCGTTTGGGTCATGCTGGTGGTCTCATTAAAATAGACTTATCGTGTAAAACCCACCTTTTCCATAATGTTGTGCTGCCACGTGGGTCTTTGCTGCTTCTGTAAACACTCCAAACATGAAAAACACTCATCTGTTTTCTGTCTGTTTGGCTCCAGGAATCATGCCTATAATGAGGCATTTCAAAAAGTCCCTGTTTGTGATGTCATAAATGGAAATTATGATAGAACCACCTGTCACATGCAGGAGAGAGCTGCTGATGGAGGAACAGCAGCTTTATGGGCTCGACACACGGGAGGCGACGTCGCCTCTCCATTCATTTTCAATGAGACGTGCGCGACAAAGCGATAATCGCGGGTCTCCCTCCTACCAAGCGAAACGCGAAAAACGTGCGTGTGAAATTTTGCGCTCGTGCACGTGTCGTGCACAGGCGACCCAGCGACGCGATCCCAGAAAGTTGAAACATTTTCAACTGTTTATCGCTGTCGCTCGGACGAGGACCAATCGACGGAGGTTTCATTCACTGACCAATGAGCGGACAGGACGCTCCGCACATCTCCGAGCAAACATGGAGGAGAAGTTGATACCTGCTGTGACGGATTTCCCAGAACTTTACAATATTTCTACCAAAGAATATAGAGATATTCACAAAAAGGCCGCGGTGTGGGAAGTTGTTGTAAGATTACACATAACTCTAGCAGCACCTTGCGAAACATCATCTACCGCTTTTTAACTCTGAACCGCTTAAATAACCTTAATTCCCTCCAACCCGACGCAGCCAAACAAAACAACAGAAGATTCGATTTCGCCATGGAACAACGCGTGACGGCTTTGCCGCTGGCCGCTGCCGCGGGTCGCCTCCCGTGTGTCAGGTAATAAAAGCGACAGCGACGAATTTCGCTGATCGCGGTCGTTTGTCGCCTCCCGTGCGTCAAGCCCCTAATTCTGAGCCCCTCCTGGATATCGGAGCTTCTCAGCTTATAGCAGCTTGAGCAGGGATGGGTGGGCGTGGTCAGCTCCAGCTTGTTTCCTTAAAGTGACAGAGCCCTGAAATGGCTCATTCTGGAAGGGGCTGAATCTGCCTAGAATAAAACTGCTGAGAGCCCTTGATTTAATCTTTATAAACGAGATAAGTCACATGTCCCTTAAGAGTAGCTGTTCATTCTGAAGGCGGATCTTGGTTTCATTTAAGTTTCAGTATATTATCAGACCTGTTTTTAAAAAGGAAGTCATTCTCAGCAAGCCAGTGGGTAATTAGGGTTAAAAGAATTGAGTCAGGATTTGAAAATATGTTTGATTCAGCAGAGAACTAACTCACCTGGTTCGGGTTTGCTCATGTGGACTAAATCAGACACAGGGAGTTAATTCAGACGCCATCAGTGCTCAGCTGTTATTCATGCGTCTGGAAGAATCTGTTCGAGGTCCAGTGTGTGTCTTCCTGTAGCTGTTCTCAGATCAGCCACTTTAAAGCCTGTCTTGCTCTTTCTAACTGAAGGAAACTTAAGGTCAGATCTGCAGTGGCCCCCCTCCCGTTTTCTCTCCTGATAATCTTTTACTCATCCTCTGTGGCCCTTTCTCCCTCACTCATCATCTCGCTCGCTGCTCTCCCCCCCCCAGCCTGTTTTTATTCCCCGACTCCCTGATCTGATTTACCACCGCGGGGACTCGGTGCCACAGATGAGCGATATGCGAGTGCACGAGGGGGGTTAGGTGGGATGATGAGCGACTGTGTGGGCATGTGTGCGTAAGTGGCTCCTCATAAGATGTTTTCATTTTGAAGGTTGTGTGTGTCACTGAAGCTGTTGCGTGTGTCAAGCCGACATGCTTTTATTTTCCGCCTTCACTGAGATCACAGTAAAAACAATGGAAAACCGCCGCTTCCATTGAGGTGTTGGTCTGAAGTAGCTCGTCCTTCCGGTGTCTTAGTCACAGGTGTGTTGGAACAAGTTTGTGCACGTGCTCACGTTTACCCACAGGCACTCTTACAGGTGCGCCTTATGCAGCTGAAGCTCACCTGCTAAAGCCCTGTTAGCGTCAGGCTGGAAGCCGTGAAAAATACAACAACCAGGAGCAAAAGTTGTATTCTGCTAGGCCTCAAAATGAGCAGGTTTTTATTCCTGTCCCCAATCCTTTAATACCACTGATTTACACACACACACACACACACACACGCACACACACACACACACGCACGCACGCACGCACGCACGCACGCACACACACACACACACACCAGGAAGTTTGGAGTGGTTATCAAGAGCCAAAGTACAAGGTTATCATCCTTCCACACACACACACACACACACACACACACACACACACACACACACACACACACACACACAGAGTTTATTTGGGTCACACCCGGGTTAGGTCTTCTTATGAGGCGATGATGCAATCGTAAACTGCTGCCATAAACATTCAGGACATAAAGCTGCACTTTCAGTTCACCGACTCGTGTCCTTGGTTGAGTTTTATAACAAAAGGCATGAATACAGGTGTGTGTGTGTGTGTGTGTGTGTCCCACCCACCCCCAAGCTTGGAAATCTGAAACCAGCTGAACTTGTAAAGGTGCAGATCACTGAAAAAATCTTATTAACGATTATTTCTGATTCTAACGGGTCGCTCTGAGTGTTTCATGCAGGCTGAACATGAAGATAGTCTCCTACACCTATCTCCTGCAGTAGCTTCTGATAGAAAACAGACGGTGAAACTCTAGGATTAGAAAAGCCTGACAGATCTACGTCACCCTGTCACTAACATTCATGGACTCACCCATCTGGACTCACGACGGGGAAGGCTGTTGTTGGTTTAGTCCAGGAAACAGCAGAGAACGTCTCGGCTAGTAGAAGCTAACTGTTAGCTTTAGCAACTCCACCACACAGCAGAACTCCTCCAGGCTTGTGTTATTTGTGGAGATAAAACATCAACGTTGCAGAGCAACCAGTCAGTGGTAGAGTCGTGTTGCTGTTAGCCAATCAGAGGAGAGATGTCCAAATTAGAGGCCGACCAACATGTTTTTTTTCGAGGCCGATACCGATCGTTAAAGAATTTTGTTGCCGATGGCCGATATCTAAAGCCGATTATTAAGGCTGATACATATAACCTTTTAGCAGCACATTCAATGTGTGCATTATAAATTAAATAAGTTCAATAAATCTTTTAATATTTATTGAACTTCAAATATAAAACAAACTCTAAACATTAAGTGTGTTGGGATCCTTTGGGTCCTTTCTTCAGTCTAGTAGTGGCAGCAGTTGGCCACACAGGTGCCTGATTATTATTTTTTTTTTTTATTGCTTTTAAAAATATCTTCTACCCATCTAGAATTAATTGAAAAAATCGGCCTTAGTCCAAATATCAGGAAATAAGACTAAAACCTGCCATCAGAAGCTCAGCTCTGATGTGGCTCACTTCTAGTTCCTGAAAATGGTGCACCAGTGTTTTTGACCCCTGGGTATGACTTGCAAGGTGTTCATTCCTACTAGACGCTCCTGCAAGTGTATCGATTAAACAAGCGTTTCAACTTGTTTAATCATCAGGAAAGATCCCGTTTCATTTCCTCTTCATCTCTCTCTCTCTCTCTCTCTCTCTCTCTCTCTCTCTCTCTCTCTCTCTCTCTCTCTCTCTCTCTCTCTCTCTCTCTGTCTCTGTCTCTGTCTCTGTCTCTGTCTCTCTCTCTCTCTCTCTCTCTCTCTCTCTCTCTCTCTCTCTCTCTCTCTCTCTCTCTCTCTCTCTCTCTCTCTCTCTCTCTCTCTCTCTCTCTCGTAGAGTAAATCCAAAGGCCAGGACCTTTTTGATCAGATCATGTATCACATCGATCTGATCGAGATGGACTATTTTGGACTTGCAGTTCATGGACTCCGATCAGGTTTCAGTAAGTAAACAAGCTCCTTCACTCCATTAGTGAAGACAACAAGCTGATAATAAGTCCTCACTGACCTTTTCCCCCCATCAGCACTGGCTGGACGTGTCCAAGCTAATAAAGAAACAGATCAAGGTAAGTGCACAAAGCCTCAGACGCTTATTCTAATTTGTAGGGAAATGCTCTGTCTCCGGTGAGTGGGGGAGCAGGTGGACCATTATCTAATGTTGACACGGTGGTTAGCGTGTGCATTTGGAGCCGAGCCCTTGTTTGCTCTACCGGCTTGTGTCAGGGGATAAATGGTGCAGCAGGAAGGCAAATGGAAGAAGCCTGGAAGAGTCTGACTGATGTTCACGTGAGTCAGGAGAGAGACGTAAAAGCAGATGAAATGTGGGTGAATGGAGATCTCTGGCCTAGCGACAGTGACGGGATGAACTGGATACAAAGGCTTCGTGGAAGGGGATTAAATGGAAGAAATTAATTACAAGAAGGTTGGTACAGTTGTCACGCAGCAAGAAGGTTGCAGGATCGAATCCGAGAGAGAGAGAGAGAGAGAGAGAGAGAGAGAGAGAGAGAGAGAGAGAGAGAGAGAGAGAGGAGAGAGAGAGAGAGAGAGAGAGAGAGAGAGAGAGAGAGAGAGGAGAGAGAGAGAGAGAGAGAGAGAGAGAGAGAGAGGAGAGACGAGAGAGAGAGAGAGAGAGAGAGAGAGAGAGAGAGAGAGATGAGAGAGAGAGAGAGAGAGAGAGAGAGAGAGAGAGAGAGAGAGAGAGAGAGAGAGAGAGAGAGAGAGAGAGAGAGAGAGAGAGAGAGAGAGAGAGAGAGAGAGAGAGAGAGAGAGAGAGAGAGAGAGAGAGAGAGGAGAGAGAGAGAGAGAGAGAGAGAGAGAGAGAGAGAGAGAGATGAGAGAGAGAGAGAGAGAGAGAGAGAGAGAGAGAGAGAGAGAGAGAGAGAGAGGATGACTGCTTATACTGAGCCAGTCTGGAGGTTTCTTCCTGTTAAAAGGGAGTTTTCCTCTCCACTGTCGCTGCATGCTTGCTTAGTATGAGGATTGCTGTAAAGACTCTGATTCTAGTCAGTGACTCGATGCAACCTGCTGGGTTCCTTATATATGAAACTTTTTACTGATTGGCTTCATGAACTGACCTGTATTGGGATGTTTATTATGTGAAGGTCCTTGAGACGACTCTGGTCCTGATTTGGCGCTTTATAAATAAACTTGAATTGAATTGAATGCTTGCGTGGGCTTTCTCCAGGTCCTCCACAGACCAAACACTTGCATGTGAGGTGATTCTGAGACGCTAAATGGTTCCTAGGTGTGAGTGAGTGTCTCTGTGGTTCTGTGATGGACTGGAGACGTGTCCAGGGCGTCCCCTACCACTCACCCTATGGCTGCTGGAGTTAGACACCAACTCCCCAAATCGTTGGTGTAGACGAGTGAGGAAGAGACGACTGCTTCATCTCGCCCTCTCTCCTTTTAACTGGACTCCTCCCAAACTCTTGTTTTTTATTCCTTGTAGACGGGCCGCCCTACCGACTCTTCTTTCGAGTTAAATTCTACTCTTCAGAGCCAAATAACCTGCATGAGGAATTCACACGGTAAAACACACACGCACACACACACTCACACACACACAGCTGGTCCAAGGGGGTGTAGGGCTAATTGCTTTGCCGCTCTTGGCAGATACAAATCAAGGCCAAACGGACAGACTTGTTAAAGCTAATTATGAGTGTGAGATGAGGGAAAGCCAGCGATACGGTGACTGATTTATCGTCTCCTGCTCTCACCGATCTGTGTGTTTTCACGTCTACAGATACCTGTTTGTGCTGCAGCTTCGACAAGACATTTTGTCTGGCAAGTAAGTTGGACACTTTTCCGCCTTTTGTGTTTTGCCGTGTTTGTTTGTTTACATGTATTTAGCCCGTGGACCTATTGTGAAGTTTCACACACGTTTGTATTGACCCATGTTGCCAAAAACAGGCTCAACATGAGCAAAAATGGCAAGTTATTGTGTCTCGTCGTTTTATTTCTGTTTACTGAGGCGCTTCTGCACAGCGAGACTTCACTGTTAGCATGACTTGTTGGTGACTTTCTAAAGGGAGCAGACTTATGGGGATGCGCGATGCATCCGCATCAATATCAGAATCAGACAAAAGTAGTCTTTTTATGCATATCGGTATCAATCATTACAAAGAGATAGAAGTAACACAATGTCAAGGCTTCATTAGCCGTGTTCGTTTTAACCAGCTGTAATCAGGCTCGTTCATTTTATGGGTCAGAAACTGAAATGTTTAAGAACTACTAATATCTTACACCCCAAATAAAACAGTAATTCACACAGTCAAAGTGATGATGCTGTACTGAAGCTTAAAAATATTCCATTAAATATTAAATATTACATACATACAATAATACATCGAGAGGAGCCAGTTGAGGTGGCTCGGGCGTCTGGTCAGGATGCCTCCTGGACGCCACCCTGGTGAGGTTTTCCGGGCACGTCCAACCGGGAGGAGACCTAAAGGTAGACCCAGGACACGGTGGAGGGACTATGTCTCTCACCTGGACAGGGAACGCCTTGGGATTCCCCTGGAAGAGCTGGCCCAAGTGGCTGGGGAGAGGGAAGTCTGGGGCTCTCGACTTAGGCTGCTGCCCCCGCGACCCGACTCCAGATAAGCGGATGAAAATGGATGGATGAATATTAAATATTAGGGATGTGAGGAAATATCGATATGGCAATATATCGTGATATTTTTCCCAGCAATATTATATCGATATTCAAAAGCTGTGTATCGCCTCTGTCGGTGCGCCCCAGGGCAGCTGTGGCTACATTGTAGCTCATCCCCACCAGTGTATGAATGAGTGTGTGAATGGATGAATGATACACTGTAGTGTAAAGCGCTTTGGAGTCCTTACTCTGAGAGGCGCTATACAAGTGCGGGTCATTTATCATTTATCGGAAATATCGATATGGCAATATATCGTGATATTTTTTCCTGCGATTATTACATCGATATTCAAAAGCCGTTTATCTAATTCCTGAAAGAATTCACATGCAAACATTTGTGTATTTTCTTTTCGTTTTGCGCAATTCAATCGCCACCCGCTAGTTGGCAGCAGTGTGCAGCGGGTTTTGTTTCCACCACTGAAATGTAAATCCCTCCATCATGGTTCAGATACCTCATGTTAAACATGTTACCTATCAGTTTGGACTGTTTATTGAACATTCTTACAATTAATTCAGTAAAAAAAATTGCTTGTAACGTCTGACTGAATGTATCGCAATATATCGTGATATATCGTATCATCTCCCCTGTATCGTGATATGTATCGTATCGCCAGAATTTCAAAAATACACATCCCTATTAAATATGTTGCTCCATCCATGGATACGCTACATTCCCTTTCTGCCTCTCTAAAGGCTCCTTTTCCTTGTTAAGCAGGTCATTCAGGTCACCGGTGATCCAGGGTTTGTTATTTAGGGAGCACCTCATTGTTCTGTTGCTTTGTGAACACTGACTTTTAAATAGCTGTGGCATTGATGTCGTTTCAATGTGGTTCACTGAATGCATCCCAGGTTGTGGCCTCAACACATCCTTTGGATTTCTGGTTCTCCTCAGAGTTCGTCTAGTCACAGGTCACTTCGAGCAGGTCTCAGAGGAGCTGTGTGCATCCATTAAATTAGCATAAAGTCAGTGATTTATTGTCTGTATAGAGCAGTAAACGTTGTTGAAAAGCCCTAATGTTGGGATTAAACATCATAACAAGTGGCTAAAAGGTTCTAGAGCAGCTTAGCATTAAAAAGGTGTTTAATTCTGAAAAACAGGAAACTTTCTCTAAACAAAACCACACGTAACAAAACAAAGCAACACGTTGCCACTATCCTTTAACAACATTCTATTATTATAGTTGAAATACGCTCAAATATTTAAGTTTGTGTAATAAATATTTTGCTTTACTGTCTGTAGACTCACTTTGAAAACACGGTTACACACAACAATAATCCAGTCAAATTTGGATCGGAATGATTGAATTTTAACTTTCCAATGTAACGTGATGAAGGAGCTATTCCTCCAAGGTTATTCAACCTTTTTCACAGTTCCCTCTGACACAGCGCCAGAGTGCATGAAACAGCCTCAAGGTCATGCATTCGCTTCTAAACTGTTTACTTTCCAGCAATGAAGACAGAAGATGAAGACTCTTTTCTTTTATTAAATCAAAGAACTCTATTTTCAATAAAGCTAATCAAAACAGCTGTTAGTCAATAATACAATGTGACCGATCGGTGAAATCACAATATTATGATTAATATGTTTTTAATAAGTAAATGACTTATTTTAGTCCACTAGTCACACTGACACACTAAGGTAAATAATCACATGACACATTGCTGTACTGATCCAATCAGAACCTTCCTAGTCTGAAGCGTGGCAAGTCTCTGTGGTGTTTATTAAATCTGTCAGCTTTGATTCGTCCAGAATCAAAAACATCCAGATTAATAAAACAGTTCCAACGCCATCTTAAGTTCAGCTCTCAAGATCTCACCGAGTTCACCTAAGCGAAGTATTGGACCGGCCATCTGTACTTCTCTTTTTAAGCTGAGAACCATCAAGTTGGGAAAAATCTGTCGTTGTTACCAACCAAGCAACGGTACCTTTCAGAATAAAAGCTGAACTCGCTGACCCAAGGAGGGTCCCCTTTTTGACGCTGTGAACCACCTGTCGCTTTTTACCTGGAGACTATCCAAAGACTGGTTTGCCGTACTGTCGACGCTGTACCATCGGCTCCAGTACCAGAGGAGGGTCGTGGACCTGGCATCCGGATCTGTACGGAGGTCTCACTGAGGGTATGTGGATGCGACACAAATGGCGTCTCATGTGTTTATGACTACGAGTCTCAAACTCTGATCAGTTAGGAGCAAAACATCATCTCCCCCTCAGACTTTGCTTCTCCGGATGCGAAGGTTCTGAATCTGACATCATTCACACACACCATTCACCTCACACTTCATTCAAACAGAACATCCATCATTAGAGAGTTAGTCTTGTTAAATTGTTTAAAATTTTTAGTAATAAATTTCCTTAAACGTTTGAAAGTCTCTCTCTCTCTTCTCTTGTCTCTCAGTTAATGCAAAGTGTAATTTTAAAGTCCCTGCAATAAAAAGATCCAATCTTCTAATTTAAATAACCCAGTGTCCACAAGATGGAATTCATACTAGATATGAATTTTTAATGTCTTATGGTCCTTAATTAAATGTAATTAACATCTATCAATACACCAACATCATCATTCTTAAAGCAACACTTGATAAGTTTCCCACTTCTCCCTCCTACTGGTTCAAAATGGAATTACAACTACCGTAAACTACCCTGCCGCCACAGACACCATATATGTAGAAGCCCCATGGACTGCTGCTGCCTATTGGAGCTGGCGTAGCAGCGGGATGCCATCTTGGATAGGTCTCAATTCGCCCCAGTGCATTTTTTTCTACTGAAGAAGGTGCTTACCCAACTAAAAACACATTTTATTACACTTTTTATTTTTTGTAACAAAATCAGGCGTATGGTATGGCATGATAGTTAAATTATAAATATAATCAAACAAAATAAATTAAAATATAAAATCCCGACAGGTAGGCTAGAAAAGTCAATAATAATATCAAGTGATCTGTTTTCAACAGTGCACCAAACATAGTAGCTCACTCAGCGTTGACTCAAGTTGCGTTTGAAGAGTGAGAAACCTACCCAATATGGTGGCGATGCTGTTACACTTTCCAGGTCCCAGTGAGGTATCTACATATACATGTCTATGCCTGCCACAGTCTGTGCTGTAGCTAGCACTAGCAACTATGCTAACACCGTTAGCATAACACCGTTAATAGTGGCCTGGTGGTAGAGTGTCCGCCCTGAGATCGGGAGATCAGGGGTTCGATTCCTGGTCGGGTCATACCAAAGACTTTGAAAAAATGGGACCCAATGCCTCCCTGCTTGACACTCAGCATTAAGGGGTTGGACTGGGGGGTTAAACCACCAAATAGTTCCCGAGCGCGGCTATGTCTGCAGCTCACCGCTCCCCCAGGGGATGGGTCAAATGCGGAGAACAAATTTCACCACACACACCAGTGTGTGTGTGACAACTGATAGGACTTTAACACGAGCCAACAAACACTAAATAAGCCACAAAGGTAAATGTTCCAGGCTGCTGGCCAAAAAATATTATTACTTACGAATCCAGTAGCAACAAAGCCAGGTCACCATCAGTCCATGATTTCAGATTCCCTCTGGATTTAGTGCTTTGATTCACGTCCAAGACATTACCCTTACTTCCAGGCTTTGTAACCAAAAAAGCTAGATCCTTCCTCTTCTTCTTCCTGTGCTTTTTATTGGCAGTCGGCAAACAGAAAGCTAACTGCTAGCCCTAATAGCTACCAAAAGAGTAAACAGCTACTCCCATAAAGCAGGTAGACGGCACCCCCCTCCACCTGAACAAACAAACTATTAAATGCGGTTTCTGGTCAGCAGAGTGCCGCCCAGTGTGAAGTTAATCAAGTTTTGACCTTAATAACCACCAAAACAGGGTTGACAGCAATAGCTTAAGGTCTCTGGTGAAAATCACGGCTAATCTTTGTGTATTTTATTGTATTTTTTTTTTTGAGAATGAACCTGCTTTGCGAATGACAATTTAATAATAATATATCTTCTGTCTTCGTCTTTGACTTGACTTCAGCGTTTAGACCAAAACAGAATACAACGGATGTCCTCACAAGTCACCTGTACGTCCGCATCTTAGCACCAAACATAAAACAAACACAGTCACCTGCACACAGGGTCACCTCAGCTGGAGCTTTAGAGCAACATCTGTTTGGCACACACAACCTGACATATTCACACTCAAGTGTGTTACTGCTCCTATCTGGGCCACGCTTCCCGGGAGTCCGGCTCTATTATAGAGATCAAGAACAGCAGAAGGTGGCTTATTTTAGCAAAAGGGTTGCTCCTTTCCTCCTTGTCATGCTATCTTATGCACACACACACACACACACACACACACACACACACACACACACACACACACACACACACACACACACACACACACACACACACACACACACACACACACACACACACACACTGCAGGGCATTCAGCCATGTTTATGTTTATGTCTTCAACACATCACACCAGGGGCAGGATGAGGGTTTGGATCTGGGTAGCACTCTCACCGTAGGTCATCAGTCTCTGCTTTTTTTATTCTTTTCAGATTAAAATGTCCATATGACACGTCAGTGGAGCTTGCAGCGTTCTGCTTACAAAGTAAGTTTTTTTATACACTCAAGCTTGAATGAGCTATGTTAGGTTTTACACCCCTAAGATCCTCTCACAGCTTAAACACCTTAAATCTTACTTTTTATTTTTACTACCTACTTTAATTTGATGTTATCAAGAAGTCTTGTTGGAAAAACTTTTCAAATAAGTCAGAATTCATGATTTCATGGTAGTTTCTTGCATCAGTAATGTCGTTCTGCATTTTAACGCCCACATCTTCTGTGAAAGTCGTGGCAGAGCTACCTTCTCAGGCAGTAACTTTTCTGTTTGCTGCTGTAATTTGGTATTCGTTTTCTCAAGGCGAGCTGGGGGACTGCGACCCCTTGGAGCACTCTCCAGAGCTTGTGTCGGAGTTTCGTTTTACTCCCAAACAGAGCGAGGCCATGGAGGCGGACATCTTCAGCAGGTGGCTGGAGCTCAGGTGAGGATTAGAGGCCGGTCGATATATCGAGCCCATATTAAGCTTAGCTTTTAACTGATTACTATCACTTTTTAAATTAAGTAATTAATTAGGTAATTTATTTATTTTATGTATTCTTTCTTTATACGTGCGTTTTTAAACAGTTTTTTTTACCATAGATTTATGCTCAACATTATTTTAATATCTATATAACTTTTTATATTACAATTCTCATTTTAGCTCTTTGGATTTTATATTTTAACCTGAGGCCTAGTCCACGCGTAGCCGGGTTTTTTTAAAAATGAATATCCGCCCCTTCAAAAACTTGCATCCACACCACCTCGTTTAAAAACAAACTGTCCACACGTACCCGGATAAATACGTTGTTAAGGACATGCCAGACCTGTAGGGGGCAGTACTTCCCCCGTTCTTAACCTCGTCCTTCGTCTGTGGTCTTCCGCAAGGAGCAGTAATTCCGCTTGCAAAAACAAACAAGCAAAAAGCGCTTGGACAATTGATAAATCGAGCGCAGCTCTGAGGGCATCCATGCTGTCGGCTAGTGTAAACACAGGTTGCATACGTGATGTCAGCATTTTTTTGTCGCGGAAAGTGACGTTGCGGACCTTAAAACTCCGGTTTTGTCCATCCACACGCAGACACCCAAAACGGAGAAAACGCAGATCTTCCCTTTGGCCGGAGTTTTTAAAAAGATCAGTTTTCGTGTGAAAAACTCAGTTTTCGTGTGGATGACAGGCCAAAACGTAGAAAAATATCTACGTTTTGGCAGATCCCCGGCTACGTGTGGACAGGGCCTTAATTTAACCTTTTTCCAGTGTTTCCTCTGTAGGAGCCCTCTGCCCCGGCGGCGTTGGTCAGCTATGGCGGCCTGGGTGCTTTCCTGGTGTGCCTGGGTGGTGGTGGGGGTCTCCGCCCTCCCTGCCCTGGGCGTCCTGTGTCTGTGCCTCGGCTGCTGCTGTGGATCTGCTGCTGCCGGGGCGGATGGCTCCCCTGATGGCGTTTCCTTATCCTTATCTTAGCTGGTCTGGCTCATCTGATCTCAGTCCATCGTGTTTTTTTTTCATGGGAGGAGGCGTGTGTGTGTGTATGTGTGTGTGTGTGTGTGTGTGTGTGTGTGTGTGTGTGTGTGTGTGTGTGTGTGTGTGTGTGTGTGTGTGTGTGTGTGTGTGTGTGCCGGAGGATGAGTGTTGTGAAGGGGTTTTTATTGTCAGACTTATTTTAAAATTCTGGGGATGGGAGGGAATGTGGGCATGCGGGGTTATAAGTTGCATGCTCTGTAGGATTAAGTGCTGTATAAATAAAGTTGATTGACTTATTCAAGTTTTTCTACATTGGCCGAAAATATTTTTCAAAGCCGATACAAATTTTTTAAATCAGGCACCTGTGTGGCCAACTGCCGTCCCTACTAGACTGAAGAAAGACCTGAAGGACCCCAACACACCATTTTTGTAGTTTTGAGTTTGTTTTATATTTGAAGTTCAATAAAGAATAAGAGAGATTTATTGATTTATTTAATTAATGTTGCACACAGTGAGTGTTCTGTTGTCTTTCACAATCAGTGTGCTGCAAAAATGTATAAATACCAGCCTTAGTAATCTGCTTTAGATATCGGCCCGTGGCAACAAACCTCTTTAAAAATCGGTATCGGCGTTGGCCTTAAACAAGCTCGTATTGGTCCGTCTCTGGTGAGGAGGACCCTCCACCACAGAGCAGTCGGCGTCAGTGATCATGCAGCAGCGTTTCCGTGCAGGCAGCTGAACTAGTTGCCACAATACTTCAAAAGCAGCTTACTGGAAGAAGGCCAGCGACCCGAGCGGGTTTCCCTCCTCTGTGGATGAGGCACAGAGAGCAGATCATGGAGCAGAAAAGGAAGCAATTCTGCTGCCACCTGTCAGCACCGGTGTTCTCACTGGCCAGAGTTTCTAATTTCACCGTCCCTCTACGCTTCTCATCCTCCCCCTTGGCTCCCCATATCACTAGTCTGTGTGAAGGATTATGGGATTATTCTCTGAAGGGTCTTGATTGATTCCAGGCAGCATTTAACCCAGCCGCGCTTTGATTGCTCCCATCTCAGATTAGATTACGTACATGTACTGGATGCAGCTTCTCGTCGGGTCAGCTGGGCGGTTTACATCACCTAAACAGCTGA